AGTTTCATATTTAAGTTTTACAACTTACTTTTCCAAGGAAGATGATTTGGTATATTGTAATGAAGCTGTAGGGCTTCTTCAAGAACTAAGTTTTCCAGAAGATTCTAGTGATGCTTCAAAAATAAGCCTGAAAACCGTTCTACTTCATAATGGTAATAAATACCCATCTGTGCAATTACGCAAACCTTGAGGTATTACTTGAGAAAATTAAATATTCTCAATACCTATGGAATATTTGTGCTGATTTAAAAGTTGTCGCTATACTGACTGGACTACAAGGAGGATAAGCAAAATTTTGCTGTTTTCTTTGTGAGTGGGATAGCCGCGCAAGAGACAAACATTACAAAGTAATGTTCCTGGACTTTCACATGAAGTTGGAACTCATAAAAAACTTTGTGAAAGCTATGAGTGAAGATGGTGCAGATTTTCAATACTTAAAAACAAAATTTCCTCGATTCAGTTTTCAGGTTCTGATTCAGGTTCAGGTTTCTGATTCGAAGTTGAGCAAAGCAGAAAAAAGAGCTTGGGTAACGTTCGTGGAGGTGTGTCTTAATTTTCTTGGGAACGCAAAAAGTGACAACCATCGACAAATCATTCGGGAGCTACTCTCTGCTTATAGAGCTTTAGGGTGCAATATGTCAGCTGTATCAGATGAGCATGGTGAAAGGTTTCATCAGGATATAATGCAAATTGAAATCTATGAAGAGGAAGAAAACTACTAAATAATTTGAATTCTATCACTCCATAATGAAATAACTGACGATATTTATTAGTTTTGTTAATATAATTTAGGATTTTTTACTGTAAAACTCAAGCCGCCACATTTTTTTATTTCCTTATAGTAATTTATACTTTAATAATATTGTTTTTTGATGAAACAAATATTAAATTAAAAACCTACGTCTGGTACTTATTTGTATATCAGATTCCGTGCTTCGAGCATAAAATAAGATGAATTCATGCATGAAAACAAGAATGAGAGAAAAAAAAATTTTGCAGACCAGTCAATATTTTCAAAAAATAAAGCATAATCAATCAAAGGGACAATAAATATTTGAACATTTTACTGCATATGGAGGAAAATAAAATGATTAGTACGATTGTCGGACAAGCTGTAAATAAACATCAAACCACAGTGTCGCCCACATTAAAAAACAAATATTTTTCCTATAAATACCAAACGTATCCAGAGCTCCGGGAAGTCGAAGACAAAACAAGAGAACATCGTTTAGGAAGTCAATATCCTCAAAAACACAAACGTTAAAATCTCAACCAGTTACACAACGTTATTTCCGGAGCAATGTGAGATGCTGCAGAAAAGAAAAGGTGTCATCCACGTACCAACAACTTTCTGCAGCATCTCAACAGTCAGCATCCCAGCATCCAGTTTACTATGGAGACTGAAAATGACCAACAACTTGCATTCTTAGACGTACTAGTGAGGAAGCGAGGTAACAAGCTGGGCCACACAGTGTACAGAAAACCAACCCATACGGACAGATACCTGCATGCTCTATCCAACCATCACCCAAGCCAAAAGTATGGGGTTATTAGAACCCTGACAGAACGAGCCCGAAGGATTTGCGAACCGGAGAACCTTCAGATGGAACTTGAACACCTGAAAACTGCCTTCGAGGCAAATGGCTACAGCAAGAGGGAGATCGAGAGATCAATGAACTCAAGATCATCAAGATCACGGGATACCGAACAACGACCCTCCACCTCCCCGTATATTCCGAGTGTCACCGACAGGATTGGCAGAGTATTGAAAAGACCCGACATCAAAACAATCTTTAAGCCTACAAAGAAAATCCAGCAGACCATCAGGTCAGCGAAGGACACGAGGGACTCACTTTCAGCTGCAGGAGTCTACCGCATTCCGTGTTCATGCGGAAAGGTCTACATCGGAACTACCAAGAGATCAATGGGAACGAGACTTAAGGGGCATAAAGCAAGCTGCAGGCTAGGACAGACAGAGAAGTCTGCAGTAGCTGAACACGCACTGGGCAGCGGGGAACACAGGATACACTTTGAGAGCTGTAAGTTACTAGCATCGGTCAACGGCTGTCACAACAGACTAGTCAGGGAAGCCATTGAGATACAAAAACACCCACACAATTTCAACAGAAAGGAGGAGACCCTTAGACTCAACCAAACCTGGAACCCGATCCTTAGGAACGCCCGAGCAGTACCGATCGATATCCCGAGACCAACCGAAGCGGAACAAGCCCCGCCCACCACCAATCGGCATAAATACAACCTGCGCAGGAGAAATCATCAGTCTACGTCCAACATCGGAGATGGAAGGACCTCTGAAGAAGCTCGCCACTCGTGCTAGCGAAACGTTAGGGAGTAATTCCAACCGACGACGGCCTTTAAACCCGAATCAAGATAATAGCTCATCAACGGGCCGCGAAAGCCTTAACCAAATTATCACTATGATTGTTATTTTTATTTTTATCTGTAGCCGATAGTATATCATCAGTACTTGTCGCCGGAGCTGTAAATGATAAGCGCCTATTAGTCAAACTACAGTAAACCTGCCTTTTATTCTAGTTTTCTATGTTCCTAGTTCTAGTCCACTTTCAGTTTTTATTCATTCCAGATCAGCTGGAATATCTAGACGCGATAGGATCACCAACGAAAGACTAACGGTTTGGCCACGTCCAAAGTACGGATGACCGAGGTATATCTAAGAAAATGATGAGTCGGAGGCCTCGAGAAAACAGAAAACGGGGAAGACCTAAACCGGAAGGCGCAGGACGCTATAACCCCGGACATAATAATAATTAAACGCACAAACCGACGGAGTGTAATGGAATAGAAAAGAAAACCTACGTGAAATATTTATATTAATTAATAATTTATTCCTTGCTAATTCCTATCGACATTCTGAACAAATGAGTAATAGAATAATATTTTGGTTATAAGGTCCCTGTATATAGTAAGGAAGGTTTCCTAAAAAAAAAAAAATCCCCGATATCAAGGAATTTTATTGCTATATTTTTATTGTACTCATTGTTGTCACGTAAATAGTTGTATCAAGATTAGACAAAAAGTTGAACAGAAATGATTACTGTTAGTCTTTATATATGTTGTTAATGATCGTTACAGTAGTGTTTGTATAGCCATTTGACAATTCTTTGAGAGCATGCGACAAAGGAGAAAAATGCACATAGAAAATGAAGGACGTCAAACGCTTGACATTAAAAACTGTAAAAAAAAAAAAAAAAGTCAGAACAAAAGCAAAAACAAAAGGGCGGGACTGCACAACAGCCATGCATGTGGTGAATTGATAGTATATTTTATTTATACTAGTTTTCACATCGTCTTGACGAATTGAAAAATTGAAACAAAATGATAAACGCCCATACCGAAGACCAGATATTAGTCCATATTTCCCTGATAATGTTCTCGCATAATGGCACAAACTCGTCCGTATTTCATTCCATAAATGAAAAAAGGCCAAGAAAATCGGTTTTTCTCAAAACACTCTGTGCAATGTTCTTACCCAAAATTAAAACAATTTTTATTTTTTTCTTATTTAAAGACATCTAAAAAAAATAAAGGTCAGTTTCTCATTGTCACTTTTTGAGCTCTACAAAACAGCGTCGAGAGATTTTATATACGACGCCGTTTTCAATTGAAAAAAAGCCAAGACATTGAAAACTATTGGCTGTAATTGCCGATTATATTTTCGGGCGATTTTGACGAATATATTCAAGAAGACAGGTAACCAAAACCGGCATCGACTGTCACAAAAGAAAACACAATTTCTTCGATTTTAAAATAATCAAAAATGACGTCATCGACCAACACCTGATTATACACAATTTACAAATATTTTTCCGGTTTCGAATTGCAGATGTTGAGGTTATGTGGAAAATGCGTTGCGTCGTAATTAAAAAGGGATTAAGTAAACACGACGCATCAAGAATACAATCAAAACGTTTTTTCCGAAAAGTGGGAGAGAGTTCTGTCATTATATTTCCATAAAATTTGCAAAACCGACGAAAACAAATATTGCAACGTTTTCTTTTTCTTTCAAAATTTCGTGTCTTGTTTTTATTTTGCTTCGGGTCTAACTGACTTTTCGGTTGCATTGAAAACTGACATTCTCAATGTTCCGTGGACGCATTAAATTATATTAATGTTTTAAAAGGATTAAGTAAACATTTATTTGTTATTTTGTAAGGAAGAAAAATGAATAACAAGGGTATTGTGTGGCACGCTGTTTAGAACAGAGCGTGGTTTTATGGTTTTCGTTATCACCACAATAGAAGAGGGCTCATTTATTATTTATTTATTACGATTTGGAAGGAACCCCGGGGAACAAAGTCCATTTTGAGAAGCGTCAGACCGTATTTGATTGGGCTAAGACAGACTAAACACTTTAGCTCTGCTGTTTAGTACATCAAGAAATTGATTACGACCAAGAATCGTAAACCTAATAGGATTGACCAATCCCAATACGTCCGCCAAAATTATTGATCGCACGTGGTCGCTTGTGACGTAAGCGAAGTCCTCTAACGGTTTTCGTGTATTCTGTCAATGCAACAAACGTTGGTTGCATTTTGTGTTCTTCGAACAATTAAAATAATTTAAACTAGTGAGTGTTTGTGTTAATTGTATTTCTGTAAAAAAAAACGTGGACAAAACAGTGTTTTTAGGCTTTAACAAACACTTTAAAATTGTATGAGCTTGAGTGGCGAGAACTGAGAAAAACAGTATTTTTAACCTTAAACAAAGAGTTAAAAGTTTTGTGTTCGTGCTGCTTATTAGCAAAATACTCAAAGTCCGTCAAAACTCGGGTCAATTTTAGCTTATTTCTAACCTAACCAAAGACGTCTTCGAAAGATGCGTTAAATTATGCAACGAAATATGACTAGTTATAGTTGTATTATTTTGTAAGAACGAAAAATAAATAACAACGGAGTGTGGTTTTATGGTTTCCGATATCCGCACCATGGACACGCTTATCTGACGGAATACGCACTCACCTCCGGGAAACCTGTGCGGGAATATCCTTCCGTGACGCGACAGCAGCCACGGGTACAGCGGGTAACTATCCCGGGGGGGCGTGTGGGCAGACAGCGACGGGGGCGGCTGACCGGGGAACCCGTGCTGTCCGGATCCCAAGGCGGCGGCGAGCGCCGCCCCCTGGAAGTGCGCCGCCAGCGCGAACGGGTGCTGCCCGCCACCGCCGTGCAGCATCTCCGCCGGCAGAAACCCCGCGCCGCCATTTTTCGCAACCACGAGGTTATGGTCGTACGCGGGCGGCCTCACCAGGTGAGCAGGGATACCGGGCACCATGATCGGCGGTTTCGGCGAACACCTCGGCGAAGTCACTAGTCTGTTATCCGCGTCGCTCGACGGCGACGGCGCCGCCGTCTCCGAATACGGAACCGGCGACGAAGAACGCGGCGGACTCGTTTCCGCCCCGACGATCGAATCGATCGAGAAACCGATCTTTGGTTTCGACGGTACCGCGAGCACTGGGGTCGGTGGTGCGAGCGGCATCATGGTTAAGTTCACCCCGAGTCAACGCAGACGTGCACTCATCGCGACGTAATTGCGAGCGAAAGAAAAAAACTACCACAATAGCGCGCGACCACGTACGCACGTCCGCACACCATCGAATCTCTTTAGTAAATAAGTGGGAACGGGTCGGCGGGTAGCGCGTGGGATGGGGGTAATGACGAGGCGGCGCGTCACGCGGCCGTCGAGCGCGCCGATTGGTCCGCGCGCGGACACGCAATGGAACTGCTACGCGCTGGCTCCGCCCCGCGCGCGTAGGAAAAAAAACGCCGCCGGCATTCGCCCGCTCTCTCTCTCGCTCTCTGTTTCTCACCGAAAGGCGCGGAAACGCCCATCGCGCTCGGGCGTGTCCGGCGCCGTAATTGAAATCGGCGCGGGCGGACGGGGAGGGGGAGTTTTTGCGCGCGGACCCGTTTACGGCTAATACGCGGCGCGGGGATTTTAATTTAATTATCGCCCGCGTTCTCTTTAATGGCGACGTAATGCGTTTGTTTTGGAATCGTTACGGTCGCGGGAAGACGAGTTTCGTATACGGGGCGTTATCGAAACGACGTCACAACCGAACCACGTCGGATCGGTAAAAAGTACCGTGGCGCTTTAATGTCTCCAACGCCAACACGATGAAATTAGGCAATGCAAATCACGTGATTCGGACCGTTGTAACAGGTCGGATAGGAAATCGTTTGTGCTTTGAAGGGTTCGAATCCATTTTTGCAGCGTATGTTGGTTCGTTTGAGAGGGAGAGTTGTTATTTAAAGAAATTATTACGATTAGATCGCGGTAATATAGAAGAATAGCGTTTTCTTTACCATATAAAGTGTTTTTTTAGGTGTTAGATGGAACTACAATTAGTAGATGGTTACAAGTCAAAGACTTTTAACAAAGTATATGACAATGACGTATAAAATGTGTTAAAATTAAATTTAGTTATTCATCTAATAATCTATAGCATAAAAAGCATTATTTGCTAAATTATTTTTAAGTCCACTTTTAAAGGCAATACTTTTTCGTATTTTTTTAACTTCCGTGGGAAGTTTCTTGTAGAGTTTAACTGGTAGTAAACCACATTGACCGTTTCTGGTCATCAAGTGATAAACTTTTTGGTTCACCTTAAAGGATCTCGAGCATAAATCGCGAAATAACTATACAGTTCCTGCGTCGGTTTTTGCTGAGTCGAACTGGCTGACGTTTCGCCGATCGTTCTGTTGGCTTCTTCAGAGCTTGACGGAAGCTGGCTCGCATTTTACTCTGTACCTACCTTCTTTTATATTGTTTGAGGGGGGCGGAGCTAAATGGGGGCATAAACATTGTCTTGCATGACGGATTGGTGACAGGTAAACGCCTGAGTCGCGGTTAAGATTGCTAGGTTGCTTATAAAAAAATAAAATCTAATCCCGACATCGTAATATTAAGGGCAGATAAAGGAAACGCTACGGTGGTCATGAACACAACTGAATATCATTAAAAGAACTCTTTGAACTTTTTAATGGCAATTTAGAAGACGAACTACCTCACCAAATAAAAAAACGATCTTTTTGACAAAGAGTCGTTGCGTACTTTTTTGAAGAAAATGGGTTTTCGGTTCCAAGCAATGAATAAACATCAAGCGCTAATGGAATCTCAAAGAATTTCGCAACGGAGGGTGGATTATTTGGTCTTTAAACGAAAAATGGTTGGACACTCGCGACACAGTAAAAAAAGTAATAAACAATAGTTAACAGTAGGCAAAGTTAACCACGGGGTCGGTTGTAAAAGCACTATATTTCTGGTCGAACTATATTGACAAATATTTCTTATATACTATTTCCAGTACAAGCGCGGTTGAATTTTATGAATAATTAATTTAAAATTCCTCGTCTCTAGGGACTCCAAAGATTTACAAACCAGGATTACCCCTTCGACCTATTGTCAGCATCATTGGTTCTCCAACATATTTTCTAGCGAAAATATCTAGCTTTACAGGGAAAACTGATAGTTTGCTTTCATTTCGTTGAACAATTAAAAAGCATTACATTAGATACACAAGATATTCTAGTTACTTTCGACGTAGAACTCCTCTTTACCAAAGTTCCTATTCCTGAAACAGTCAACATCATATCAGATATATTAAAATCCGAGAATCTGGAACCAAACCTTCTCACCTTAATTGAAAAATGCTGTAGGTGTCCAGGTGAGTATTTGTTTGGGCAGTCGCTGTGCTTCCATTCTTTGGACGCGACCGTACCACTTTAACTGTTTTGTTCTTATTTCGTCTGTATTCTTCGATCAATTTTCGCGTCATGCATTCTACATCATCGTAGTCTTGCGCCATTATGACTTGGTCATCTGCGAAGCTTAGGGTGTACATGTTTGCATTGTTACGGGGAATGCCCATATTTCTGCATTTTTACTTCCATATCCTTAACGCTTGTTCAAGATATATCTTGAACAGGGTGGGGGATACATAACACCCTTGTTTGAGTTTCCATTCTTCTGGGATATCTCCGCCGTTAATACAATTTTGAAAGAGCTTTGCTAGATGTTCATGCAGTTTGTGTGTTCCATGTTTGATTAATTCTGCGGGAACATTACCTGGCCCTGGTGATTTTTTATTTTTTAAGTTTGTGCAAATATCTTCTACCTCATTAATGCTGATTCTGGTCGGTGAAGCCGAAACCTGTATTATGCTGGGGCTGTCGTCTTCAAGGAACTGTTCTCGGTCCTCTGTTAAAAGCTTACGGAAATATTCATCCCGTTTATTCGTTGTGACGGGAGTTACTATCTCTCTCTTTGTGTTTTGGCGTAGTGATCTCAGAAGCTTCCAGCTTTCACTACTTTTTGTTCCTCCCAAGTAAGTATTTATTTTTTCTGGGTTATTTTTCTTCTTACTTGGGTTTGTGCTTCTTGGAGGACCCGTGGTAGCTTGATTTGCTTAAAATTTAAAATTTGGTAGAATAAAAAAATCAAGAGATAAATATTCCACGTATTAAGGGACACGCAGTTTGTTAGCTATTCGTATATCTGAAGTACTATTGGTAATTTATTATTTTGCTTACAGTTACAACTTGTTTTTTATGATTTTCCATGCTGTTTCTGGAACATTATTTGATTGGAGAACAAATCAGCGTAATAAGTTCGCTTAAAATTTTTAATTTTTTGCTAGTGGTGTTTTTTTATAGTTCTGTACTATGTAAATACATTTCGGTCTTTTGGATATTTATATCTTCTAAAGGATCTCTTCCTCTATGAGTTCCCTCGACCGCCAAGGCTTGCTTGGGAAAATGCCATAACAAACAAAACGGTAATTAAATAAATAAAAGCAATTCCTCTTAAAACAATTTATTATTAATCAACGTTTTACCAAAAAGCAAGTGTTTTTAGTGTGATTTTTGTTGCTGTACGCAAGATGACGACATTTTTTGACATTTTCTTAAGAAATTCCTATCCGAATTTTGCATAGTTTGGACAGAAATTGAGTTTGTGTGTTTTTTTTTTTCATATTTTTCATTGCCCCATGTAAAATTGTGTTGCGACGCTACTGATACAGGTATTGCAACGAAAATTTAACCAGAGACTAAGGAGATGATGTACTACTCAATCCATTTGACAGACGCGCCTCAGCTTACACAGGGTGTCCCAAATAGGTGGCGCCGTTTTGCCGAATTCAATTAACAAAATCTCAAGATTTTCAAATGGAACGCCCTATATTTTCATTCAGATATCAATTCTAGGACAAAAAATGTAGCAAGTTTGTAATTTATCTCATATTTAAATTGTACTTACTTTTCGAGATATTCAAGGTTTAAGATAACACCAGTGCAAATTCGAGTAATTTTTTGTTTTGGGTTTCTTAGTATTGCACGTAGCATGCGGACCGTGCAGGTCGTGGGACAGACCAATAGAATGATTTCAGCCAGGCTCGAGGAACATCGTTTAAGAAACCAACAAACAACATCTGCTTTGTTTCAGTACCAACACCAGACAGTCCATAAAATTGATTTCGGTACTTGCAAACAAATAACTAATATTTCTGATTTTCGGACCAGGATTATACGAGAGACCATCGAGATAGAAAAGGCCGGGCACCTGAATAAGAGAGACGTCTCTCTGCATTTATCCAATACGTGGAGAACGATTATCAAACGGTGGAGCGATACGCAGCAGCCAACGCGGACATCGCAACTACAATCGGGCGAAATTAACGACGCGACAATTCGGGGGGCGGAGCCACCTCCCCCCACGCACAAGCAGCACCGTTGCCACCTCCGGCGCAGGGTATAAATAACGCACGCACCGCGGTTAACCTCCCAGTGTTCGAAGGGTTCTCGGAGCGCGAGCATTGAAGATGCCAAGTGAGATCGTGTCTTTATCAAATGCAATATTTACTGCCTGCTACTATATATACCGAAAAATAACCACCAAACCTTAATAAATGTTGTGAGGAGAGGTATTTAAATCTAATTGAAAGTTAAGCAATACATTCGAATATCTCATTTTGTTAATCTATGGCTTCCAATAAATTTAATTTTCTACTTTTTGTGGCTGTACGCAAAATATCAAAATTGTCGTCAAAAATGTGTTTTTCTGTGTTTAAGTGTGTAGCATAATTAGAATCTAGACTATTGTTCTTAAACGCTCTTTTATGATCGTTAATGCGTTACTTGAAGAATCTGCCTGTTTGTCCAATATAAATTTTAGGACAAGATCTGCATTTCAACCTGTAGACACCCGACTTTTGTTGTTCCTATTGTGTTGTTAGTTCTGAAAGCTATTTTCAAACCGCATTTCGACAAATGGTTTGAATTTTTTTTTTTATAATTTGTTTTTTGTTTATAATTTTATTTATAATGGACGGATTGTAGCCGTTGTTCAGTGCAATTTGTTTAATGATATTATGTTCTATGTTGTAATTTTCTATTCATTTTGTGTGTATAAGGGTGATTTGGGCTGTTATGTATGACTGTGTCTGTGTGTGAAGGTTTATGGTAAATTAAAAAATCTAATTTGTTTTGCTCTTTCGGAATAGTTAACTCAAAAAATTTGATAGAGTTATCCTGTTCAATCTCGATAGTGAATTTTATACGATTATGTAATGAGTTAATGTAATGTAAAAAAGAATTCAATTGTCTGTCCGTTCCAACAAAGCAAGCAAAGACATCATCCACGTATCCATACCACCATAGAAAACTTTTACTTAAAGGATGTTCTTGTATGATATTTTCCAAGTTATCCATAAAAATCTCGGCTAACAAAGGACTAAGTGGGTTTCCCATAATCAAAGCTTCCCTAGAGATGTAAATCTGTCCATTAAATTCAAAATAATTTTGGTCTAAAGATAGGGGAGACTGGGGAGACTTGATCAAAAACGAAACGCTTTTTCTAATATTTATATTGGCAACATAAGTCTTTGTTGTCTATGGTGGACCAAAAACGTCATTTTCACATCTTTATATAGACAACTTCAGAGCAGTGCAGCCATTTTTATTTTCCTGTGTCAGCATTTGTTTCGGTAAGTTTTTCATTTGTTTTTTTTTTTAAATAACTGAATGAAAAATTCACTGAGTATGTGTCAAAATCATTGAAAGTAGTTTATTAAAGTTTGCATTTACATGTTTTTTATTTAATTAAAGTTTTCTCTTGACATGAAAAAAAATTTTTTTTTAAAAGAGCACTCCCGGGTATAATTGATCAGGGATCAAGTGTCTCATACATTCAATTTGTCAATTTTCTTTTTTCGTTTGTTTTAGATTAATTATAAAATGGGAAGAACGTATAAAAGAAAAGGGGGTGCAAAACCGCGTGTACGTGTTGACCCACAAATTCATAAAGAAGCTGTTAAGAAGGTACACACAAAACTCCTACAAAGTCCACAACCAGACTGAAAAATCTTGAAATGTTTTAAGACTCATGAGGAAATAAAACCATTCCCGAAAGCTGGTTGCTGAAAGGTAACCCAGAAAGGTCGTAAAAAATTATCAACGAAAATCTTGACTGGTACGCCTGAAAAAGAAAAGTTGGTCGAGGAACTATTAATAAGAAGTGAAAAAAAGAACAAAAAGATAAATAAACCAGTCGACAAAAAGGTGAATAAAGTTAAACGGAACCTTAAAGGGTTTACTCTGCCTTGCTGTCTTGCTGCCTCCATCACTAGATTCCACGTATGATATGTCTGAAGATGAAAATGATGACGAATATGATGATTCATCTAGTTGTGAATCTGAAGATGATCATGGAAATGACATGCCACCAGAAACTAGCTTACGTCACAAGCGACCACGTGCGATCGATAATTTTGGCGAACGTATGTCTTATGGGATGGGGCAATCCTATTAGGTTTACGATTCTTGCGGACAGATCGAGACGGTCGCGTCAAAAGCCCGACCGCAGATTAATTTAACGACCCGGACAGATCAGATCGGACAAAACGGCACGTCATATCGTCCGAACGAAACCGGACTAATAACGTCCCTTAATTAAATTAAAATGCCAGGACGTTTCTCCGGGTCCATCGACAGGTAATTGATTGTCGAAACAAAAGGGACCCCGCGCGAGCGATACGATCGCCTCTCTGTCTCTCTCGCGCACCGTTAATCGCATCAAAGGAGGCGAAGCCTCGTCCCCCGCGCTCCGCGCGACGTCGCTAATTGGCCGCCCCGATTAATTATAAACAGATGGAACGCGGTTAAAAGGGACGGACTCGTCGCGCTATAGGCAACCAGTTATACGTTTCTTTTTGTTGGCGAACTAATAAAGAACCGTTCAAAATTAAGTTTTCGTGTTCAAATGAGGTCGTGAATTAAACTGTCACGCCGTTCTGTTCGTTACTAATACATAATATTGTGCAAAAATTGAAGTGAGGTGGCTTTTACTTGATGACCAACCATTTAACACAATAAATAAGAACTAAAAGTTCAGAAAAACACGTTTTTGACGACAATTTTGATATTTTATATGCAGCCACAAAAAGTAGAAAATTAAATTTTAAGCCATGGAGATTAACAAAATGAGACACTCAAATGTGTTGCTTAACGATCAATTAGATTTAAATACCTCTTCTTAATTGAACTTAAATTCTCACAATATTAATTCGGGTTTTATTGCCATTTTTAGGTATATATAGTAGTAAATATTACATTTGATAAAGACACGGTGTTGTCGAAACAATTATCATGTGAAAATATATAATTTCGTAAAAATTTGAACTTTTAGCCCTTATTTATTTTGCAGTAGGCTTGCTAATTTTTTTTTCTCATTATTTACAGAGTTCCAGGAAATCCTGCACAACAACCCCGGTATTTCACGGCCTCCGCCATCACACCTTTCGCTAAAGCGCCGGTCTCCCCCCCCTCCCACGACTGTCCCGCCACCCCTCCACCGCGGTCGATCCCATCACCCAGAGTCCACGTCAGCATATTCAAATATCACGAGTCGAACCTTAACGCTTAATGATAGGCATTAGCTGGCCGTTCGATCCGCCGCTAATATATACTTTAGTTGCAAATTCGAGGCCCCGAAGGGCATAATTTACCAAATTACCCACCCATAACACTTCAAAATAAACAAGAAAAGTAACAACAATCGCCGTTCGTGGTGCTGTTGATTTAAATAACAGCGAGCCGACGGTACACGGTGGTACCGATGGTGGTACATGATCTTCTCGATAATGGCGGGGCGGGATTTTTTTTTCTTTTCTCTTTTACTTTCGGACCGGATCGGACGGACTTTTGGCGATTGCCGCGGCGAAATTCGCATTAGTTTTTACCGACCCCGTATCAAACAAATTTTTATACCCCACACGCCCGACCCTTTTCGGTTCTATGCTGTTACTCATTAATCTGAAACTTAACCTTATTTTTTAACAGGACCAGTGAGGAGATTATATTTTTAAATTTTACAATATCCCATTAATGTAGAACGAATATCATTCTGAATTATTTTATCAAAAACGCAAAAGTTTGGTCCGGGAAAACCATTCCTATCTAGGCTTACGCAAGTCTAACCAAATCGAAATGACTTGCAATGAACTCTGCTATCGTCGCGCTCAAAAAACCGGGAGTTTTGTATATTTTTAATTTTGGGGATAAACTTTTTTTTAAGATGTGCTCATAACTGCAAAGTGTCGCAGAAGTGTGAGAAATTTCGTGTGGTGAGTGCCTAACGTCACCTGCAACGAATTTGAATGCGTACCTAACCTATTAAATTGTCTTCAATTTGTGTTGAGATATAAAGTATGTTTAAAGCGAGAAAACGTAAGTCTACATTTTATCGGGAGTTGACGAAAGACGCGTTAAATTCGACTACTGATATATTTAGTACTAGTGTTTTTAATGAGAACTCTAATGGTGCTCTTATAACATCTGAACACACAAGTCAATCTAAGCTAACCGTTTTGCCAAATGAAAGTAATGGTGTTGTGGCTGGGAAAGATGATTTTTCTAAATTTATTGGACCGGCAATTAAACTCTTTCAAATAAAGTTAACGCCGTCTGAATTATGAAAATTTTAGAACCGCGTTTTCTGGAAATACCAGTAGATGCTCGAACTCCCAAAAGAAAAAAAACTTATAAAATAAAGAAAATGTAGAAGAATCAGAGTACGATTAAGAGAATATAGAGAAACCGAAAATACAGCGTAAAAATATTTTTCAGACGGTAAGTATTTTTATACCCTAATTTCCCCTATATGCAACTTGTTTTTGTTGGTTCAAATGAGTTGCTTATCATTGTCAAAAAATCTGATTTATCTTTCACAAAGTCCGATTTGTTTTTCAGAAATTCTGACTTTATTGAGAAAATGCACTTTATTTTTCAAAAATGCCGACTTATTCCTCAGGTTTTAGTCAGAACATTTGACTTGTTTTTCATATGTTTGTTCCTTTTAAAATTCCGCATATTCTGCATCCTGAATAACGATTCGCCGTAGCATTTTTCCGACATAACACGGATTTAATTAAACCAAAACTAACCGACCAATCGGCTAACCAAGCGCGCGATTCGTCGCAAAATATCGCTCCTAATTACGTAAGTATAAATAAGAATCGAAATCGAAGCACTCAAATTGTTGTCGCGATAAATAATCGCTTTTAAATGCGCTCGATTGCCAGTCGTATGACCGCGCCAGTACTCACACGCATCACAAATACAATCGACGTGAGAAATTTCGGCCGCGCCGTCGAAACCAACATGAGATTCGTGCAATACAAACTGAAATCGGGCGAGGGCCAACAACTAGGCGCCCAAAAGACGCAATCGGGAGACATTTTCCCCGTTAGCGAGTCGGACGGGTCCGTCCCGAACAGTCTCGTGCAATTTCTGGAAGCCGGGTCCTCCGTTTACGACAAAGCGATAAGGTATTTTTTTTATACGCGCACATAACCTCAAAATCACCGTCCTAATGATATGGCACAAAGTTTATCGGTCTGTGTCCCCGATCAAAGTATCCGAATTGGACACAGACTACAATGTCAACTTTATAGGTTAATCGAAGAATGTAAAGGAGCGATCCCGTTGTCCGAGGTTCACTTGCTATCTCCTATTACGAAAAATGATAAAGTGGCGTGCGTCGGGCTTAATTACAGCGGTCACTGCGAAGAGCAAAACATCCCCCAACCCAAAGAACCGATGATTTTTAGCAAATTCTCATCGGTTATCGCGGGTCCCTACGACGACGTCGTCATTCCGCCAATCACAGACGTAAGTCGTCTTCTTTAGTGTCTGTGGCTAAAGGCGTAAATATTATATTTCTAGTCCGTCGATTGGGAAGTCGAGTTGGCGGTGGTGATCGGGAAAACCGCGAAAAACGTGGACGAGACTCGAGCGCAGGATTACGTTTTCGGCTATACCGTGGCGCAGGACATCAGCGCTCGCGATTGGCAAAAACGCAGAAACAACGGCCAGTTTTTGCTCGGCAAATCGATGGACACGTTTTGTCCGCTCGGGCCTGCCGTCGTGACGAAATCGGAAGTCGATCCGAACAATTTGCCCATCAAGTGTTGGGTCAACGGGGAACTTAAACAGGACGGCAACACTTCGGAGTTGATTTTTAAAATCGACTTTTTAATCGCATACCTAAGCCGGTGAGCCGAGACTTATTTTAACATATTTCAAATTGTGTGAAGGGGACCGAGGATGGCTCGGTTGCTGAGGCGCCAACTCGAACTTGCCGGAGGGTGTGGGAGCCTTGGGTGTTGTGTGCGTGAAAAATTTGTTCTCGGCCAATTTTCGTCGGCGGATGCCGGACAATGGGTGCATATCCGAATTGAGATGAGCCCAATTAAGCGTAAAGAAAAAAAATCTGTGAAATAGTATCTCTAGAATTTACTTTTAACGTAGGTTTCTGACGTCACTGCGTTTCCTGTGCGAATTATTTGATAACTTATTTATTACTCATTATTTGATAACTTATTATTGTTTTTATGGCGATTGTTTCGTGGTCGTCAAAAAACCGGGCGTAGAGCTTAGAATTTACCTTTTCTGACGTCATCACGTTACCGATAAGAGCTTAAACGACTTTTAATAAGATACTGTCTCTAGAATTTAGTTTTAGCGTAGGTTTCTGACGTCACAGTTTTTATTGTTTTTATTATTTATTGTTTTTATATTTATTATTTATTTTATTTATTGTTTTTATAGCTACGCTTTCAGGATCGTCAAAAAATCGCGCGTGGAACTTAAAATTTACTATTTCTGACGTAATCGCGTTACCGATAAGAGCTTAAACGTGAAAGCTTTTTAACAAAATAGTGTTATTCACTTTATCGTAAGGTTATGACGTCACAGCGTTACCTGCGCGCACGCTTTCGCGAGTCAATGATAACTCATATTTTTTTTTACGACGGCGCTTTCAGGATCGTCACCCTGTACCCCGGTGACGTCATCCTGACGGGGACCCCCGCGGGGGTCGGCATGCACAGGAAGCCGCCGCAGTTCCTCAAACCGGGCGACGTCCTCGAGAGTGAAATCGAAGGCATAGGAAGGCTCAAAAACAGGATCGCGTAGAGCGAATCCGAAAGCGGCGCAGTCGGTAGGATATCGATACAAACGACTCGACGATTTATTTAAATACACTATTTGACGGTGACGGCATTATAAATACACCAAACCGCTGGAGGCGGCGTGAGCCATCAGCGTGTTGGCGGCCTGCTGCGCCTCCAGCAATATCCTAGCTTCCTTCATCCATTGACTGGCCACGCGTCTCGGTGCGCCTCGCAATAGGTTCATATACTTCAGCGTCTGCGCGAAATCGCCCCTGTCCAACCAAAACCTGCGGGTCAAAGGTTATACGGGCTGTTATCGAAACGATCTTAATCGAAAAAAAAACCCACCTGGCTCGTTGCAGGATGTCGTTCGTGTCCAGGTCGCCGTAATCGGTAGGTTCGTCCTTCAATTCGCCGGAAGTGATTGGATTCGCCGATTTTATCAGCAGCAGCGACTCCAAGTACGAGAGGATGTGCACGGGTAGGGCTGCACCTGTTACCATCGGGTTAAAAAAATACCAATATAACCTTAAAAAAAAGGTCACCTTCGGCTGGCACCAGCGCCACCTGCCGCGCAGTCTTGGCGACTTCCAGGAATCTCTCTCTTAACGCGTCCTCCGGGTAAACTCCCCTCTCCCTCGCCTCCCTAGGGATGGTCTCGACGACGACGGACACCAGCTCGTCGTTGGTGGCTGAAAAGGGAGTGAAATATACCGGGTAGTTCAAATGGACCTTTCTCTCTGAAAAATGGGTGGGTTAAACTAACCTGCGGCTCGAAGGACCGCTCTTAGTTCCGGTTCGAGCGGTCTGATTTGCTCCTTCCAAGGTATTCCGGGCAGGCCCGCCCTTATGGTGCGCGAGAGGGACTGGCAAGCGCTCCACAACACTTGGGCCTGTTTGGACGCGGAGTCCGCCTCGTTTCTAGCTGAAAAAAACATATAGGAGGCATAAACTATGCAGTAACGACAAAAAGGAAAGTAAAATGAAAAAATAAAACAAAGAAAAAAATAGATAATGAAAAATAAAAAGAGATTAAATGGACCAACATCTAATAAAGATAATATATAAAGAAAAACATTGAGATCATATACAGACTAGTTTTTATATAAATACAAATTGATCTATAAGAAATAATAGGAGAAAAAATGGTATAAACGATAACGAAAAGAATAAAAATCAGCCAAACAAACGATGAAAATCGAAAAATAGAATGAAACAAGAGGAGGAAATACGTATAAAATATGTAAACCCGTAATAAGAAACTATATATAAGAAAAAAATGAAGATTTACGTATAATTTTTAATAAAAATATGTGGAACTTTACACGTAATAAAATATTTAGAAAAATGTTAAATATAAAATAAAAGCAATAAAATATATATAAAAACAAATTTACGGATAAATTATAATTAAAAAAATGTAAATAGAAACATGAAAAAAATACCATAGACATAATTTTTGCTTTTTCGAAAAAGCGATAGTTAGGTAAAATAAAAAATATATAAATATTAATAAAACAAAAAACAAATAAGAATAAACCAAACAAACGGCGAAACATAAAAAATAAAGATAGAAAGAGGCAAGAGAAGGAAATGAATAAAAATAAGAAAAAAACATACAGATATACTGGTAATTGTTAGTGGTAAATTGAAGTATATAAAAAAATAAAAATTAAACAACAATTTAATACATAAGGAACAATATGAAAAAAAAACATCACTGACACAAATGACGAAATATTAAAATAAAAAAAAGAATCAAACCAAAAATTAAACCAAACGATCGGCGAAATATTAGGATAAAAAATGTAATGAGACAAGAGTAGAAAATAATAAAACGCGTAATGTAACAAAAACAATATTTAAAAAGAAACAGAGATTGTTTATTGCGGATATTTTAATTAAAAAAAGTAATTGGAACATATAAAAAATAAATAATATATAAGAAATAATATGGAAAAAAGAACAGCCAAAACATCAGGCAACAACAACGAAATATTAAAATAAAAAGAGACAACGAAAAAAAATTGATAAAAATCAGCCAAATCAAATGACGAAATACTAAGATAAAAAATAAACAGAAACAAAAAAAAATGAAAAGCGCCATAGAGAGTGTTTGCTGGCGATTTTATAATTAAAAAAAACAGATAACAAAAAAAGAAAGTTGACAGAGATATTAAAATAAAAAAACCGAGATGAAGAAGTATCGAAATTGGCGCGAGAAACGAACCTTTGACGGCGTCGTCGAGGCCGCGCAGCTTCCCGGTAATGGCGGCCAGCTGCGTCTTGAACCGCAACCGCTCCGCCTCCAGCGCCTCGTCGAACTTCAGCGCCAGCTGCCTCTCGATCTCCGCCCCCCTCACGCCGACCGCGTCACCTAGGTGGTCGTTGAACGTCTGCGACTGCCGCTTCAGCTGATTCCTCAGCTCCGATTCGCTCTCTTTCCTCAGCTTCAGCACCTGGCGGACGTCGACGGTAGTTTAAACGTATCACGCTACAATATTCTATTAAAGTCTCTTCATAGATATAACAAGGTGACTAACTGATACGAATAATCCCATTCAAAAGCAACTGGTCACTTTCTTATATCTATGAACAGACCATACCTGCTGCTGAAAGTGAGCCGCCAACTTCCTCCTCTCCCTCTCCACCGCCTCGAGCACCCTAGCACCGACCAGGGGCTCTTGGTCGCCGAGCCTGGCCGCCTGCAGGGCCCCCTCGACGGCGTTCCGTAACAGAGTCTCCACTTTGGCCAGTTCCTTCTGGTAGAACAGCACGTTGTTGTAGGCGTGCAGCAGGAACAGGTCGAGCTCGTCCTCGTTCACCGCTAGCTTCCTCTTCTCCAAGTCCACATTGGGGAACAAGATCTCCAGCTCTTCGGAGAAGTGTTTCCGAGCCTTCTCCACCTTGTCCCAGTACGTTTCCGCGACGCGGCCCCGTTTCAGCTCCGACTCGAACCTGGAGGCGGCCCCCTGCACCTCCGACTGCACCTTGGAAATTTTGTTTTGTATTTCGGAACGTTGGACCTCGGAACCCGGAAAGTCTTTACGCGAAACGAACTCTTTGAGCTCGTTTATGGCGGCCACAGCCTCCGAAGCTTTGGTGCGCGCACGGTTGATCGACTCTCGCTTCGTTTTGTTTTGCTCCCGCAGAGTTTCCCATTTGGCCGGGTCGGATTCGTCGACGGCCTCGTCGATGACGCGTTCTACGTCATGGTTGTAGTTCGAGAGGGCGCCGATAGCGCTCGCGTACGCTTTCAAAGCTTCGCCCGCTACGACGTTGAGCTTTCGTTCGAGATCGGCGACGTTCCGATCGGACGTCGGCTCGACCACTGAAAAAGCATTATAGGTAGTCTGTTCATAAATATAAGAAAGTGACTAACTGATACGAATTAAGGAAAGACCCGGGCAAGCTGTAAGAACGAAATATGGCCGAGCAGGTCCGTACTTTGCTTAGAATTTAATTATTTGAAGTTTTGTTAGGAAAGATACTAAACAATATAGTTAAAGTAAAAAAACGTTTAAATGAAAAATGTAAGTTCTGAATTTTTGCCTGTTCATCAGGTATACCGCAAGGTTCCGTTCTTGGACCTATATTATTTCTGATATTTATACATCCATCGAATATTTGAATTTGCATTCATTTGCCGATGACACTCAGCTCTATTTTACTCCGACGATCCTAAGTTATTTGATATTGCTTCAATTGATATCAATTTGGATTTGCATAACTCATTTCTATATCCTTCTATGCATACGCTAACATTAAAAGAGTATCCCAAATGTAATTTATTGATTAACGGTGAACATTTGAAAATTGTGATTTGTAATGAAAACCTTGGCGTTATATTTGATCGTAGTCTTAGATTCGTGGAATATATATCTTTGTTGTTGAAAAAGTCTTATTTGGTTTTGCGCCATTTATACAGGCATAGAACTATCCTTAAATTCAGCTTACGGAAACTTTTAGCTCAATCACTTGTCCTTTCGATTATGAACTGTGGTCTAGTCCTCTATTACCCATGTCTTGATAGTATTATTAAATATAGATTGCAAAAAATTCGAAACAGCTGTTGCAGATTTATTTTCGGCTTGCGTAAATTTAATAGCATTTCCCACAGGAACTTAACTGGCTAAAAATTGACAGTACTTTCAAGTACTTTTTGGGGTATGAAATGTAAAGTAATTTCTCCTAGTTTATAAAACTGTCTATCGGTTTGCAACAGCAGTTTCAAAAGTGCTGACAGTTACTGTCGACTCTCGCTAGATTGGTGGTCTGTGACCGGGACCTTTGTACTTGTACCACCTAATAGCAGACACCTTAACGTTAATTTTATTTATTATTATTATTATTATTATTAATATTATTGTGTCTTTATTAGCCAGAAAGCAAGAAGTTTAACAACTAACACTACCCAATAACATTCCCTATTTAATCTGTGGTATGGATCTTGAAAATTATTTACTGTGTTTGACATTCACAGAGCAGTGGCAAAACGAATTTTTGTGTGCCAAACACTGAATATATAAAGAAAATGTGATGTGATGAACGCTATCGACCATAAATATCTAGAAAAAAACCAGAACACAGATGCCTCGTGAGCTAGACAAATTGTCTTTACAGCGCACGATGCAAGAAAGCTCCGAAGAACACTTTTTTTTATGAAGATAGAATAAGCTTCAATGCCCTAGAATCTTATACCATGATCCATTGGAACACACAGTCTTTATAGTAAGAGGTTAAATCGTTACAGAAAGATAAAGAGAGGCGATAAAAAATAAAAAATTTGTTAACCTCGTGTTTTGTAGCGATTGCGGAGTTAAAATTGTAAAAGTAGAGAAATTATTAAAAATCTTCGACCATTTTAATGTAAGTTAAAAATTAATTTACTTTTTCGGTTCAGTAATTTTCTTTCTAACCTCACTTTGTTATTCGATTTACACGCATATTACCTTTTTCCAACGAAAAATGATGCGCTTTGGAAAACAATGTTCTAGTAACATTATTTGCATTTAACACATCAAAAGATTCAAATAAAACGACTGAAAAAATTTACGCCCCTTTCAATCAAAAACATTTCATGCCCTAACCGCACGTCAAGACGAATTAATTAGTGCGCCGGAAGCGATTATAAATCGAAATAAATTCAAATACAAACGGTACCAGTATCAATGTCCACTTTTGCCTGTGTCTTGATCTTATTCTTCCGTTCGACCTTCATTTCTTGAGCTTTCTCTAATCCTTTCTCGATCGTTACTATGGGCGCTAGCAACAAAAATGTTAGTAAGAAATCATGTTAATAGCATCCTAAAACAAATGTCAACAACTGGAGTTTGTTAGTTGTTAATTAATAAAACAAACTTCAAACTCTTCAAAGAGGCACCGACCTTTCTTTTCCTTCGGGACTGTTATTGCATTTTTCTCCTCAGACTCCGGCTTCTCGCCGCCGTCGACAGCACCCGCAATAAGTTCTTTCGTACTATCGTACAGTTTCGAAAGGCTGACGTCCTCTAAAGTTTTGAATACTGGTTCCGTAAATGGCAGATAGTGTTTTAATTTGTTCCTAAAATGCGGATCGTATTCTGCGTAGGCTATGGTGGCACCGCCGGCTATCGTTAAAGTCCCCAACGTCAGTAGTACTTTTCTTCCACTGCCTTTACTGGTAGGGCTGGGGACATTGCTATATCGGCGAAACGGTATCGATTGCTTCGAAACGGGATTCGTGGTGTAGGGATTTAAGTACTAAAATGAGAAAAAATGCACTCGTCGTCAGCAGTTTATTAGCGTAATGCCTCAAAAAATCGGTTTTTGGATTACACCTAACCTCAAAATGTGGTGACATAACACACGTAACTCTAACGTTCTCTACCTTCGAATGTGGTTGCTTACCGGTATTCGTTTGTTGAGTTTACAAGCGTTTTTTAAAAGTACCATTGTGAGAAATCAAATGCGAAAAAGGCCAACGTTTGCGATTTAATTTTCGAAGCCAGTAGTTAGCTGTCAGTGGTCCGTCGTCTCTTGCGGTTATTAGCGGTCTGTGACGAGCGGGATGTTGCGGGCGATATATGCAGGTAATTGTTGCTATTTTATTATTTTTTTAGCTTTACGGACTACGGCGCGGTAAGCGATTTCGGATCGAAGGATGCGTTTTTGGTCGAACGACAACTGCGTTACAGAAAAAAAAAGTAGGGTTAGCTCGATTCGCTCGTTCATGGGGTTCGGTTATAAAAAATATAGTTGCAAGGGCGTTTTGTTTATAAATAATAAAATAAATGCATTCCTCCGTGTTTTTACGTCGACTTGAAGGTTAAAATCGCCAGTATCACAGACCACAAACGGTCGAGTACAACCTTGCCATTTGGTGTCTCACGTAGTGTTCCCGTTTGTGTTGCAGGAACCAAATTGCTCACGTCCACGGCAGCGGCCCTGCCGAAATTAACCGTGAATAACACTCCTTTAGTGTTCAAAGCTTTCGAAAGACATTTCGGATGGCTGCCTCAACGACAAAACCTTCTTAGCAACCCGGCCGCGCAGTACTTACAGAATGTAGACTCGCGGACGGTTACGAAATATTCCATGCGAGATGGAACTCGCAAATCCGTCAAGGCGGTGTTGAGAAGGTTTTACCGATTGAACTGGGGCGCGTGGATCAGGACGAAAGCTGGACGTCACAAGAAACTTTGGAAGAAGAGCCCCCCGAGGAGACGCAGGTTGCGTCAGCACGTGTTTTGCAACGCCACCCAAAGTCGCTTGCTGGATAAAATGGTGACTAGTTACTGGAAGAGGCCCAAGTATTACGTGGACGACATTTACGAGCCATATCACACTAGAGAGGAGTTTCTGTTTACCTCGAAAAAGCCCAGGCCGTATATACCACCCGAGCAGTAGTTTGTTATCAAATTGTTGAGGGAACATAATTTTTTCAAATAAAATACTAGCACTAGGGTTATTTATTAGTTTCTAACAAAAGCAAATCCTAACCTATACACGGACGCAAGGAGTCATTAACACAAAAAGGATCGTTGCAAAGTTACACACACAAACCGTAAATATTAGTGAAACATTGGCTGAAACATTCGAAGCCAATGCAAAATGCAAAATACTTATTGACTCGGATCACAAAATAGCTACTATGCTCCGTGGTCGGACTCGAATTAATCACGGATCACATAACTTTATAATAAAAATTTGCCGATTGTTTTGGTTTTTATCAAACGCCAAAAGGTTACGATCGCTTCAATATAAACGGCAACGTGAGTCATAAAATACACATCCCGGTTAGTTTCCGGCACGCGAAGCCCCCATAATTAAGATAACTAAGCGGTTCCGCTCGGTCATCGGTGACATCTATCGTGATAAAACTATTCTACGTTTCGAGCAATGTCGTTGGGGCGTGGAAACGTCAAAGTAAAAATTAAACAGACGTGCCACGGTAAAGTATCGAACGCATTACCTTTGGCGCGCCTACTTAACGTTCACTTCGACTTGCGCGCGTGTTCCGTATTAAACCTAAACTCACCCGATGGTACGTGCTGTGGCGGCTCGTCGGTCTGTGGTATTTGATAAAGTGCTGATGGGAGATTTATACGGGCAGCCCGTAATGGGAATTGGCTATCGAATTGCTGTATTATTTGCCGTAGATATTTGGTATTTCAAATTTGTTTATCCACGATAGCGTTATAGACGAATTGAACTGATTAGGTACCAGTTTGCGATAGTGGTCTTTGTCTTCGCGGTCCATTGTACAATATAGGTTTCTGTGACTGAATGGTTGGATAATCGAACGGGCGGGCATTTTTTTTGTTGGAAATACGTCGTACGTTCTTTAAAATCATTCGAAAAAGCTAGTAACGCTAGTAACATTGTTTCTTCCCGTCAAACGAGACATCTTAACGCAAAGATGCGAATCGAAAAAGGAATATATAGAATAAGGTTGCCGTTTGTTGTTACAAAAGATTCGTGACGATCGGCCAAATTGACGCGCTCGAATAGCTGGTTGCCTAACCCCGGCATTCCGAAAAATCTTTCAAGCTCCGCGTTTTTAACGTAAACTGTCGTCCTCATTAATTTTGTTTATAACAACAGGTCGTCGCGGCCTTCTTATTTCGAGCAGAAACACTTAACGCGCATACGAAATATCGACGCAGCTACAATAGCCTCAGTCGTCGTCCGTTGTTAAAAAAAGTTAAGGCACAATAGAATAATAACGTGTACAAAGGAAATAATTTCTTAATTCAAGTTAAATTAACGCGGGGATGTGGGCTTCACATATAAACCCAATTGGCGTTTATTAACTGTCCAGTTCGTGTGTCTTCGTGCGTGTGAGACGTCGATGTTTTTCCGTCCACGTAACTGATAGTGGTGGTGGAGGGGGGCGGTTCCGGGTAAGTTTTCTTTTTTTTACCCGCCGTATTTCCCGGGGCCTTCGCGTCTGCACCGCATTTCAGAGACTTAAAAGAATTAACCCATATGTTAAGAATACATTTTTTTAATCAGCTAAATTAGGTATAATTAGGGATTACCATTTGTTTGTCCGATAAATATGGAAAGTAATAAGCGGCAGTAGTTACAGGGTGTAAACGTAAAGTTTACTTTCGAATACGTTACTTTTGGTAAATTTTTGTTATCCGGATTAAGATTTTACAACTGTTAAATAAACAACCTATGATTGTTTTTTAAAGTCTACTTAAGAAAATGAATGTTTTTTCGGAAATGATGGTTGACGATAACCGGGCGGGCATATATGTTATTAAAATTATTAAGACTAATTTTTATTTATATTAATATATGTTATATTAACTAGTTGGCAAAGAGCATCGAAATTTTAAGTAAACAAAATATGAACGTAAAAAATAATGGTCGCAGACAAAGTATAAAGTATACTTCTTTAGTCACTCAGCAAATAAACAAGTCAATACAAATGGAGACTAAAATGGAGTTTATCAAACCCGTTACATAAGATATCATTTTTAGCCTATTGACTTCTCGTCGACTTATTGCCTAAATTCATACAAGTTTTGACGTTAATTTTGAGTTCAATTTATTTTGAATTATGAAAGGAAGGTGCCCTTCGTTTGTACATAATATTGCTTCATCATTGAAAAATGTCAATGAAATTGCTGTCAACATATGGAACTGCTATTTTAGCCGCCCAGTAATGATTAATTAAACGAACTTTATTGGAGATTTATTTTATATTTGGATGTAAAAACGTATGGAATTTATAAAATATTTGGGTTTATTTGCAATTTTTTTATCGTCAAAAAATAAAAAAATATCTAACTAAATGTGTTATTATGCCCTTTAATTTGAGGAGGAAATTGTTAATTATATATATATATATATATATATATATATATATATATATATATATATATATATATATATATATATATATATATCTCACGTATTGATTCACGGATGGAAAAATGTGATGACACTATATTCCGGGATATCATCCGTTCGCTCGTTGAACTCCGACTGGAATCCTGCATCCGACTGGAATCCTGCAAATCTTGCATCCGACTGGAATCCTGCAGACGTTTCGCCAAAATCTCACTTGGCATCTTCAATGCTCGCGCTCCGAAAACACTTCGAACACTGTGTTCGAAGTGTTTTCGGAACGCGAGCATTGAAGATGCCAAGTGAGATTTTGGCGAAACGTCTGCAGGATTCCAGTCGGATGCAGGATTCCAGTCGGAGTTCAACGAGCGAACGGATGATATCCCGGAATATAGTGTCATCATATATATATATATATATATATATATATATATATATATATATATATATATATATATATATATATATATATATATATATATATATATATATATATATATATATATAAGAATAAGACAAATTGTTTAAAATGTTTGCAATTTATAAGATGTTCGGTTTTAATTGCATTTTTTTTTATCGGCAGAAAATAAAAAATTATCCAACTAAATTTGCTATTATGCCCTTTAATATGAGAAAATTGTTAATTAAAGAAAAAGAAAAAAAATGAAAAATTTACAAATCCATGGAGCTTATAAAATAAAATGCCTTAAACTGCATTTTTTTGTCGACAAAAAAAAAATGAAGAAATTATTCATTAAATTTCAAAAATGTTAAAATTTACTTTTAATTTATAAAATTTATACTTACTAATTTAACACTTTCCAGTGACAATGAATGAAAAAAGTTTTTAAGGGTATTTTTTGTAATTTATTTTATTAAATAGAAAAATTATTTCTCAAATTGGTGAAATCGGCACGTAATTGGGGAAAAATGTGGCCTTTGACGTTTCCCATGACGATTTAATTATGTTTTCACTCGTTCATTCATTGTAAGAACGGATCCCCTAAAAGGCGCCACTGATCGTTATCTGTTTGGCAGACCCCTCGACCTCGTGACGGCGGGACCATTTTCTTAGACACGATAAACAGCAGTCGTTGTTGATAATCGCGTTTGTACGACGATATTAATATTATTACTAAGTGGAATTTGGCTTATCGTCTCTTTGGAATCCAAGTAAGTCAAGAATCGTGTTTATTATTGACGCAGACACAATGCCAGTTGCTACCGAGACACGATACAGCGTATCTACGCCCCAAAATTGTATACCTTGGCCCCTAACGAAGTTGCAAACCGTGGTTGGTAAAGTACAATTAATTGGCCATTAGAGGGAGAAGCCAAAAGCCCAAAACACAATATTTATATTAACATTTCGGGCAGTTCAACCTTAAAAGTTAATCTGACTCCATTCTAAACATTTCATTTTAAATGTTTGCTTGACATGAATACCGTTTTATGTACGTTTTGTTTACTTTACGCGAGTTACTAGTCTCGTTAAAACACACGTCATTGAGCGTTTTACGTTATCCAATCTATCGTTGTTTTAGAAATCTTTCCGTGGTCTGTGACGTCTGATCCCCACTACGTGAAACGCCAAAGCAGACAAAAAAGTGGTGCGAATTGCACCCTAATTAAATTTGGAAAGGGAATTCAACTAAAATGCCTCCTCGTGACTTTTTTGTTCTGCGGTTTTGGATTAGTCTTTTTTGCGCCTACGAAAAAAAAAAGAAGTGGTATGAATTAACCTACAAACCGCGTCCGTGTTTTGATGGTAAAAGCAAGAATCGTAAACCTAATACGTACGTGGTCGCTTGTGACGTAAGCGAAGTCCTCTAACGGTTTTTGTTGCATTTGAAGGCGTAGTAAACCGTTGTATTTTGTGTTCTTTGAACACTTAAAATAATTTAAACTAGTGAGTAGTGCGCTTATGTTTGTATTTATTTATTTCTGTAAAAAAAACTTGGACAAAACACTGTTTTTAAGCTTTAACAAATACTTTAAAATTGTATGTGCTTGAGTGGCGAGAACTGAGAAAAACAGTATTTTTAACCTTAAACAAAGGCATAAAAGTTTTGTGTTCGTGCTGCTCATTAGAGGTGTTATTAGTTAGGAGATAAGCTCAAAATATTAGGCATAATAATATAGGTAAAGGTAAGAAATACATTTCTTTTACCTTTTGAAATGGGATAAGTTACATCAAAAAATAGTTAGGTATGCCTGGAACGAGGTGTGCCATGTATGGGTCCAATAACACTATTTTGATGAAAAAGCAAGTTCTAGAAAATGTAGTTTTCATCGCTTTCCCGAAGGGAAAGATCTAGTATCCCGTACTATTCGGAACGAGCGGATAGTTCGATGTAGAAGACAGGACAAACTTAATCCAGAGAAAAACTATGTCTGCTCAGTTCATTTTACTGAAAATGATTACGAAAAATACTTACAAAATGAGTTATTGAGCTTTTTTTTGTCTTGAGTAACACATTAAATTCACCACAAAATTGAAATTTTAGGTTTACCTTTAAAAAAGATTCTAAAAAAAACTGCTGTTCCCACCCTATTATTATTTAACCAGAAGCCACCAACAGAAGGAGGATTATCTAGATCAAAAAGCCTTCACTTGTCTAATTACAGCACATCGATAAAGGGTATCGTTAAAAGTGAAAGGAAAAAACTTCTGGATAGTAGCGAACGGGATATGATAAGAAGGACAATATATTCCGTTCATATATGTTTCTCTTCATGAAGGTGCGAGTACAGAACTTTGTTACGAAATGATATTTATGTTGAATCTGGTTAGAAAACCATAAACCATGCTTGTAAACGCAAAATTTGATTTTTTTTTTAATAGTAGACAGACATTTGAACAAACAAATGTTTGGGCGTTCCACACATAACACACACACATACGTGATTTCAACATATCGAATTTAGCATAGTTGCCGCATCACCTTTCTGGAATGACGTCATTTTTAATTAGTTCGGTTTAATAAGTCAACTGACAGACAAAACATTTTTTCGAAGAAAAAGGTTGTCGTTTCCTTACAACAGTCAATGCCAGTTTTGGTTGTGTGTTTTTTAGAATATATTTTTCTTTATATTTATTTATTATGTATATTCAAAATCTGCAGCTTAATATTATGCAAAAAATTTCAATCCTCAGAATAAAGAGGTAATAATTATTGAACAGATTACTTGTTTTTTCATATAATGTTGCTTTTTGCATAACAGGGCTCGATTGCCGTCAAGAGCCCAGACGATATACTTTCGGACAAAGTATACCTGCCGCTGCGAAAATTCGAACAGCGCCTATTTAAACGGATAATATAATATGTGGCGTAACGGACCCCTCGCATTTATACATCAACGTCGGCTGTGCGCCTCGATCGACATATTTAATTCCGTAGGGGTCATATTGTTTAACCTCTTCAAATACATTCAGCGGAGTGAATGAAACGTTCGTCGGCAGTGTGGTTTGTTTGGACCGTGTGCGACCCCCGGATTCTAAAAGGTGACCAATTTTATCTACGAACGCCGCATTACAGCGATTATTTTTTTTTTTAACATTGCCATGCTTCAATTAGCGACATACAAACATTACCTTTAGGGAGATTGTTTCGAACAATTCGCAGTTTTGGGACGTTTATGCAAAATCGGAGTCCAATATAAAAGTAATTAAATACCTTGTGTGGGTATTGCCGCACATGGACGTCTGGCATACGGGCATGCGTAAAAAGAATTGGATTTAAAAAAAAAGCAACATTCACTGTTCATTATAAGAAAGTTAGGTTTTATTTTTGGCAAAAAGTAACGATTTCGAAACTTCATAGGCAAAGAGTAAAGACGGTTGTAGCACTCTCTAGTCAGTCCTACCAACATCATGTATTTTAAATCCAAAAAGATATAAATTCAGATCAAATATGTTTGATTTTTGATAGAAAGCAAGTAATAGATAACCTTCATTCTTTGATAACATATTTTTAACGGTTAAGGTTAGGGCAGCACTTACGAAATGTCACCCTTATGTCACTTTATACTAAACTTATACTAAAATTTAAAAAATCTTTAGAGAAATGAGAAGATTGGAATATCAATATATATATTCTCAATTCGATTATAATTATAATAAATTTAACAATTAACCAACCTACAGTGACGAGAACTATTAAAAAAAGTCAGTAATTGTATTTCGGTTGATCTCTTGCCGAGTTATGTTAAGTTTCTCACAAATGTTGTTCTTTTTCCATCAAACTTTTTCGTGCCTCCATTATCCAATCTGAAAATACATTTTACTTACCGGTATAAAAAAGCAAAGGAAGAAATGAAACGCGGCTAGAACGTAGATTACCTATTGCTGGTTATATTAAATGCAGCTTCTCGCGAGAAATTTTCATTCTTCTTCTTTCGTCTGAGTGAAAATTTAGCAACTGGACAAACAAAGTGTAGTTTCAAGAGTATTGTTGTTAACATGAAACAGAATACAATTTTACATATCCATGTTGCTATTGTTTAAAGCCTTAACAATATTGTTATTTAACCCTGGTCATACGGAATAGATCTAATAATCTTTAAACCGCACTGGTTTTGCGAGAGTTTGGATTTTTTGGAAAAATCGAAAAGGAAACGTCTCTGCTTCTCTGACTTGATTATTTCGGTAAAACTTTTGATACACCATAAGCGATACTTTATATGCCATATATATACTTTATAGCTAGTAACTTTATATGCCAATTTCCATGGAATTTGACGTGTAAATATTGCATGATGTCTAGCGGGCTTAAACGAGCGCGGTATTTGACATTATTCGATAAGGGGCAAATTGGCCAAAGGCACTCGCCCACACACGGAAGAAGAGAAATATGAACCATAGTACACAAGCAAAGCAGGAAAGAAAATTGTAATCAAACCACAGACCATATAAAAACGACTTCTTTCCCTGTACGTGTTTAAATGTTTATTTTGAAGTAAATAAAAAGGTAACGGGCATGTCGGTCAAATAATTTTCTCGATTTCAGGTTCAACATGTGACGTCACCACCCGAAAGCAGATACCGCACGAGCTGCCTTGTTACTAAGTACTAGTGCCGCAGGAGGGTCTTGGATCTCCTGCTGCTCAAGTGCTTATCAATGGGAGCAGTTTCTCATGTCGTCCGCGAATGATTGCGGGGAAAGTTGGGGGTAGTGAAGAGGGATAAAAATAAAACTCTAGTCCGTGCATAGAACGTTCTCAAAAGTTGGTAAAGCCGGGCAGGGGCCCCATCCGTTTAGCGATCTCTAGGTTCTCGTAAAACTGCGCGAAATCGACGTAGGCCTTGATCTTCTGATCAGGCCCGACGCTCTGATCCACTTCGACCCTTTCCGAGCTGGTGGTGGTGTCGGTGCCGTCGCCACCGGTTCCCGTGCCGATCGGGGTGTCGCGCTTCGTAAGGGTAGCCGTCCCGCTGTTGCTCGATAACCCGGTGGGCGTGGCGAACGAGGCGGCCGGCGATTTGGCCGCGTTAGGCAGCGGGAAATTGAAATTGCGCAGCACCAAGGTGATGTCCTCGCGTTTCGGCATGCCCGAAGCGGTGTTCGACATGTACCAGTCGTGGTGCAGCCTCACAACTTTGTCGACCACCGCTTGGGCAACGCCCGTCAGCGTCGACTGTTCCCTGAACTGTAAAGAAGAGAAAAAAGTCCCTTCGCTTGTACCCAAGAATCGTAAACCTAATAGGATTGCCTAATCCGCCAAATCTGTCCGCAAGCGCAATGCGAAAATTCTCGCTGGCTGTGACGTAGGAAATCCTCTATTTTGTTTGGATAATCACTCGTTATTTTCATTTAATGTCAACATTAAAACTTTTTGGTACTTATTTGATAATTACTGGGAAGTAGCGTAGGGTAGGGTCCCAGGTAGGGTAAAAACAATACTATTGCAATCAAGTTTGGCTTATATGGCTTATATTAATTAAATATCGTTACACATAAATACATAGAAGTAGCGAACACAACGATTTTCTTGAAAAACTTTGTGTTTTACGGCATCCTACCATTTGAAATATACAAATACTTATAAACTATGAATCCCTATTTTCGGATATATTAAAGAACACACTAAAAAACAAAAAATATATTAGGCATACATAACAACTATTTATAGGTGGTAGGTAATAAATAATAATATTTATTATTTATATGTACCCTCGTATGTACATAATATAGAAAATACATATTACTACATATACTTAAATCTTTATTTTACAATTTTACCAATTTTATCATCTTGCAAAGATTTTCTTTTTAGACTAATGTTATATTCTGCTTGCTTATTATTTGGGGTTCGGAGATGGGTTCTGGAGATGGATTTTTCTCTAGAATTTCACTTGTGGCATTCGATGTTGTTGCTAAAAGCTCAGAAAATACCTGCTCAGCTTATTTTTTGGCATTTTTCGGAATGAAATCTTTTTGATCTGGATAATCCTGCTTCTGTTGGTGGCTTCTGGTTAAATAATAGGGTGGGAACAGCAGTTTTTTTTAGAATCTTTTTTAAAGGTAAACCTAAAATTTAAATTTTGTGGTGAATTTAATGTGTTACTCAAAACAAAAAAAAACCTAATAACTCATTTTGTAAGTCTCTTTCGTAATCATTTTCAATAAAATGAACTGAGCAGACATAGCTTTTATCTGGATTGAGTTTGTCCTCTCTTCTACATCGAACTATACACTCGTTCCGAATAGTTCGGAATACTAGATCTTTCTCTTTGGGAAAGCGATGAAAACTACATTTTCCAGAACTTGCTTTTTCATCAAAATAGTTGTTATTGCACCCATACATGGCACACCTCGTTCCAGGCATACCTAACTATTTTTTTATGTAACTTATCCCACTGAAAAAGTTAAAAGAAATGTATTTCTTACCTTTACCTATATTATTATGTGTAATATTTTGAGCTTACCTCCTAACTAATAACACCGCTGATAAGCAGCAGGAACACAAAACGTTTAAGTCTTTGTTTAAGGTTAAAAATACTGTTTTCCTGTTTTCGCCACTCAAACACAAACACAAACACAATTTTAAAGTATTTGTTAAAGCTTAAAAACACTGTTTTGTCCAAGTTTTTCTTTTTACAGAAATACAGTTAACACAAACATAAGCGCACTACTCACTAGTTTAAATTATTTTAATTGTTCAAAGAACACAAAATACAACGGTTTACTACGCCTTCAAATGCAACAAAAACCGTTAGAGGACTTCGCTTACGTCACAAGCGACCAAGTACGAACGATAATTTTGGCGAACCTATGCCTTATGGGATTGGGCAATACTAATACTATTTATAAATCTTCTGGATTCCTTCAACTTGGCGTGAATCACAACCACAACCTTTAACGAAACATCAATTTGCAGGATACCTTAGACACATCAGAATTCTGTCTATACTGCACAAATTTACCTGCAAACCACTAACTGACATATGTAACGACCACAGAAACCACTTTGGTACGTTAAAACGCAATGGAATGTTTTTTTAGAATAAACAAAAATAGTCAAATATAGTCATTTAAAACGAACAAATTTATAATTTTTCATTTTGAGGGTGAAATTTTACCTCCAAAACGTCAACAAAGCAAAAATAAGAGGTGCACGAAATATCTAAGAGCCACAGACCGGAAAAACCTGTCTGTGCTTTTTATCACGGACCGTGACAACCTTCAACGTCGTGCGGAACCTAACCTGTTCTACGATGCACTGGGCGATGTATTTGTTGACTTGGTCAGTGCCGATGGCCTCTTCCACGCAGCGATAAAGGCCGGCCGTCATCAGGATCAAGAATCTGCACGATTCGTCCAACACGATGCCGCCATGGACGTCCGGTTCGGCGATGATGGGCTCCTGCGTTGCCATACTTATGTCTTCGAAGTTTCTATAGCCTTCTTTGATCGTGTGGTTGCCTAGACAACGAGTTGTTTCCTGGTTGCCTATGTGGGACCCTTGGGAAAAAATTTATACGGGTTTTCGGCAAAAATACGGAAACTATATATTTTTCGTGAATTCGGACTACAAACGGGGCCAGGGCGCGAAAAATGTATATTATTAAATTTTTTTTAAAGCGTTGTTGTTTTATTTCGAAATACTCCGTTATGGCAAAGTTCTATAGAGAACGGTCACAAACTAACCAACCTTACGATTAAGTTCAGTTCGGGTTAGCAATTAACCTTGATTATAGCTTTTTTTTTTAAACATCCCTCCACAAAGTTGGGCAAATTCTGTTAAACATATAGAAAAAGCAGAACAATCGTATATCCAGATTGCAAATAATATAGAACAAATAATAATTAGAACACGCGATGATAGCGATAGTGATACTGATATATTATGTGAATAATTTTAAGTAATTTAAGTAGGTAATAAAAATAATTTGTAATTTTATTTTAGATTTAAACATAAATACATACCTAAATAAATAAATATTGTTTAGTATCTTTCCTAACAAAACCCCAAATAATTAAATTTTAAGCAAAGTACGGACCTGTTCGGTCATGTTTCATTCTTACAGCTTGCCCGGGTCTTTCCTTAATTCGTATCAGTTAGTCGCTTTGTTATATCTATGAACAGACTTTACTAAGGTAAAAAAAGATGTAAGTACTTTTTTATTATTCAACATAATATGCGAGTTATTTATCCGATATTAAATAATAATTTTTTGGTTAGTAGAAATATTACTCACTGTGGTTAAATTGCTTGGTGTCGATCCCGATTTGCGAGAGCCTCAGTAACTCGTCTTCGTTTGTCACGTCGTGGTCCACGCTAAGCTGGACGACTTTTAATACGGAATTGGGATCGGTTTGGCACAATAAAACCCGGCAATTGCCTACGTTCGCCACGTACAATTTGTTTTTGAAAATTAAGGCGACGGCCACCACAGTACCCGACGAAAGTTCACAGTTAATTCTCTGGATCGCTTCCATTACCTGCGGTACTTTCTGGTACGCCTCGTACGAATTCAAACCTTCGGGTATATCGTAATGCAAGCTGGTCCGTTCGGCTAGCAAATCGCCCAAACTCTCCATGTACCCTTTTTCGACGGTAGTAAACGCCTGTCTCAGGAGCTCCTTCACTTCCTCGTCCGTGTTTAACTCGTCCAGCTGCGAAAAATAAATCTCGGCCGTCATCCTCTGCGAGCAAAACTCGGCCGCCCGTTTGCCCCTGTGGCCGTCGAACAGGGCGTACCAGTAAAAGTGATCGTTGAAGCGGAAGTGCGAGCTACAGTCCTCGTAAGGGTGGTCTTCCTGGGGATGTCCGTCTTTTCGGTAGATTTGGTTGGTCGAAAAACCGATCCCCGTGCTTTTGCATACCGGCAAATCATCCGTCCAGCTCTCCGAGTTCTTATAACTAGACTCCGACTTTAGGGACATCATTGGATTCGTCGGAGTCGGCTCGGTAAAATACCACCGGTGTTTACGAATATCAGCTGATCGCCATTTAACCTTGACGATCGTCATAGACCACGGAATCGGTTGATTTAGGTTAGATTGGCGACTAAACGTAAAGTTCTGTATGAGTGTCTGTTAAAAATGCATTGCTTTTAAAGGTTGCTTGTGAAGACACAATAAACGATACTTTGTAGTTTTCGAACGTTTTAACTAAATTGTATACAAAATATATTTGCCACGGCTCGATTTCCTTCGCTTAAGCCATCCAGACACCTGGAATTCTCGTGTCTTTTTTCAGCTCATTTGGTTCCACTAGCCACCGCATATGGAGGCCCTGCCTATTTTTTGCGTTCGACAACCAATATGGCCGCTGGTAGAGGGTTAGTAAGTTTGGAAAACGAGTAAAGTGTTTGGAAATCGCTGTTTAGAAAGAAAATTTCGAAAAGTTCTAAAATATCAATGCCGCCTGCAGTGCATTAATTTTTCAACGTAGTAAGACCACCATATTATCTAATAGATATATGCACTGAAAAAAATCCTTGTATTTGACTTAAGCGTTTAGGATAGGTTGAGACGTCACAGTTGTGCTCTGTGTTGGACGAAAATCGGTTATGAACACTGAAGAAGAAGAAATCGTCCATTACAGACCACCAGCCAATTCATAATATACTGCGCATCTTTAGCAGTCGAACGAAGCGATAGTAATGGCTTTTTCAAAGTCGAAAATTGAAACTCATAACAGTTTGTGGTGTGGTAAATGTTGCTAGTGTTTTTGCTCCTTGTTCAAGCTTGATGAAGTTTTGTATCCGTTATTGACATTCATGAGTGTGCTCCAAAATTTACGTCAAAATGCACCTTATCTAGATCTATCACACTATAGATGGCGCTAAAAATTTCTCGCCGTTGTCATGAGCTCGATAAATGTGACCACTAGCGTCCATCGACAGTTTCTTAACGGATGATTTGGGTGTTTATTGGTGGATACGAGCATTAATGTAAGGAATTAGAAATGCGAGTTTGTCAGTGGCACCTGCGGGCCGCCACCTATTAGACCTTGCTCCTATTAAGTGGTTCGATGATTTAACGAGAGACGGCGCCACAAATGCGCGCGTGCCACCCGCGTACCACGGACCACCGACGCACATCGTCCTTTGACGTATCCGATCGATTTTTCAAGAGGGAAAAAAACTCGAATTAAACTTCGAAAATATTTTTATTCAGATTTATTTAGATTCGGCATCCTCAATTAAAAAAAAATCCTCTAATAAGCCCGCCCGCAGAAGTTTTGTAAAAAGCATTACAGTAGCCTGTGGAAGTTTCTTTGAAAAATTAATAAAGATTCAGTTAGAAGAATTCCGTTTTTTTATTTTAACCAGTAGAAGTCGCCTAAAGTAAATTCTTTATAATTAAGACGTCTCTTGTTTTGGATAACAGTCCCTAGAAATATTTATAGAATTTAGAAATTGGCGTCATCTGTCGGAGCTCGCTTCAAATAGCTAGATTTAACGAGAGATGGCGTCACTGTGCATCATCTACTCGCCACGGACGCATTCGTGTGACCTCCACAACTGACCCGTCGAGGAAAAAAAAAAACGAATTAAATTTTCGAAAACATTTTTATTCAACACATCCGTATAATCTAACCGTTAGATTCGGCGCGCTCATTTAAAAACGAATACTGTAATAAACCCGCGCGCAGCGGGCGACATATTTTTTTACAATAACAATTTACACGTCATAGATACATTTGAACTACACCTAAAAAATAAACGGTAAAGGGGAAGAAAAAAAAACATATATGCACAAACTACGGCGCGCGCGCGCGCTCGCTGGAATGGTGATTGGCCGACCACGCCCACCTCGCGCCTAGTGACGCGAGTCGCGCGGATAGAACTCTGCCAGGATCGAGGCGGGGATACGTTTCAGCATCTCCTTGGGGAATATCCTGAGCAGTTGCCAGCCGATATCGAGCGACTCGAACACCGTACGGTTCTCGTAATTGCCCTGCGAGATGAAATTCTTCTCAAACTTCGTCAGGAACTCGAGATAGAGGAGATCGTCGGGGGTCAACGCCTCCTCGCCCACCACCGCTTTCATCGCCTGCACGTCTTTGCCGATGGCGTAACACGCGTACTGTAAAAACGTCGCGTTTTACGCGCGAGCCACGCCCACCTATAGTACGAGTCGCGTTTACCAGTTGGTTAGAGACGTCCGAGTGGTCTTTGCGCGTCATGCCTTCGCCGATGGCGGACTTCATGAGACGCGACAAAGAGGGCAGCACGTTGATCGGCGGGTAGATCTGACGGTTGTGCAATTGCCTGTCGACGTAGATCTGACCTTCGGTGATGTACCCGGTCAGATCGGGAATGGGATGGGTGATGTCGTCGTTGGGCATCGTCAAGATCGGGATCTGGGTGATCGAGCCGTTGCGGCCTTCGACGCGCCCCGCCCTCTCGTAGATGGTGGCCAGATCGGTGTACATGTAACCGGGGAAACCGCGACGACCGGGCACCTCCTCGCGGGCGGCGGACACCTGCGGCATACCCGGTTACGTCACCAAGGGGCGGCCTGATATAGCTATTAGGTAATACGGAGTGGCCCTACTACGGTAAAAATTGATATTTTCGTAGGGGGTTAGAAAGTGTTTCCTGTGATTGCATGGCTTCAAAGAAGGAAGAGTCAAGGCAATTAACCCATTTAGTCCCGGTGGTGCGTTAATGGACCACCTATTTTATGATTTTTTTTGTCACATCCAGGAAATATTTTTGCAGATCCATTTAGACATTTTATTATTATCACTACTAAAGGACCTAAGACCGTAGAATTCGCGAATTTAAGTGTAAAGGAAAAATCTTATATATGACTTCAAAAGTTAACAAAAGCGGTACATAAATTTGTATTTGAACAATATCGAAACTGTAAACTAACCAAAACTAAATATAGTTTACTTGTATATTTACTCTTGGCCTAATGATATTTTGCAGGTGTCATTTGTTTCACTTTTTTATATATTTTTTCAATGGTTTTTAAACCACATCCACTACATCACCGCTGTTATTACTTTTATTTGTTTCGGTGTAGATATTTAGTAAATATAAAAATAATAACGTAACTTTTGTACTTGTACTTGTATACTTTTTAGAATTTTTTCACTTAAAGCAGTTACAAATACAAATTGTTCGACACATCTTGTAAAGTTAGGAATGAAGGAACACCAGGCAAACGTAATAAGTCTGGCATGTGACGTCACAATACGATGGTCCAACCGACGCTGTGTTCGGTTATGTGTTAACAAAACCTGTAAATGCATGACGGGACTGACCAATTCAACTTGTCATTCTCTGCTAGTTAAATAAGTTCGACGAAAAATAGAAAAAAAAAAAACACACACACAAAGGTAATAATTTTGGTAGAAAAATATGCTTATTGCATCGCATCACTTGAGTTTTACTTGTTTTACATTGACACTTTGCCATATTGAATGGGATCGAAATGTGAGGTTATAAATCGGAAGAAACATAATTTTCAAGTTTCTAACGCATCCGGGCGACTTCGATCATCGTAAAAGCTCCGAAAATTGACGAATTTAAACAACAACGGAAATGGTGAATAGACTAACCTCACGCAAAGCCTCGGCGTACGAAGACATATCGGTCAAGATGACGAGGACGTGTTTCTCGCATTGATAGGCGAGGAATTCGGCGGCGGTGAGCGCCAAACGGGGCGTGATGATCCTCTCGATGGTCGGATCGTTTGCCAAGTTCAAGAACAGGCATACGTTCTCCATCGAACCGTTCTCCTCGAAGTCCTGCTTGAAGAATCTACCGAACACTTATTGTACGAACGTGACCTCGCAAAATATATCCAAAAATTGATATCGGCCTCATTAAAAATTATTCTTAACGGTGTCCCAAATAAGGGTAAGTTCAGTAACTATAAACGATGGGAAAAAAAATTAAATCGTTGCACAGTTTCATATATGCCTTTTAAAATTCTTATTTTAAATTAAACACCCTGTGTGTACGTAACAGGAAAATGTTACACTGTTAGTTATTTCGAAAACTATTCCGGAATAGGCAAACGGGGGGTTTCGATTTGAAAAAAAAAAAAAAGTTTTTCGAAAATTTAATTTTGTGAGGAAATTCATCGTCTTCTAAAAATTTGTGAGCAATACGGCACCATGTTAAAATCAAAGGAACTCTCACCAAGGAAATCCTTTGAATGGTGTCATATCGATGCCGCAGCAACAAATAGTAAAAAAAAAAGGTGTTTCCCTCTCCAGTGACATTAGTGCGTTTTTAAGTAGTATTTTATTGTGCATTTGTGATTGTAAAACGTTTTTGGGAAAGTTTGGTACCACTGCTAGCTGCTTTTCTTACAAATTTTAACAAGTACAGAATAGAGACTGCTTTTTTTTTATACATAAAGTCACGTTACTGACCAGAGCTTCTTAAAATATGCTGTTTCACCACTCGCGAGCCAATAAATACCTGGCGGTTTCCATATTGACGCCCATGGCAGCGAAAACGATGGCGAAATTGTCCTCGTGATCGTCCAGTACCGATTTGCCGGGCACCTTGACCAGACCTGCCTGTCTGCAAATCTGTGCGGCGATCTCGTTGTGGGGCAGACCCGCGGCGGAGAAAATAGGAATTTTTTGCCCACGGGCAATCGAATTCATTACGTCAATGGCCGTGATACCCGTCTGGATCATCTCTTCGGGGTAGATACGCGACCACGGGTTGATCGGCTGGCCCTGGATGTCCAGAAAGTCCTCGGCCAGAATCGGGGGCCCTAAATGACACGTTTTTCCCGTCGTACTTGCGACATAACCCCAAAGGTGACTCTCGCGACTCACCCTTGTCAATGGGCTTGCCGGAGCCGTTAAACACGCGGCCCAACATGTCCTCCGATACGGGCGTCCTCAGGATATCCCCGGTGAACTCGCAAAGGGTGTTTTTCGCGTCGATACCCGACGTGCCCTCGAATACTTGGACGACAGCTTTGGATCCGCTGACTTCGAGCACTTGACCCGACCGCAGGCTGCCATCGGATAATTTCAGTTCGACGATCTCGTTGAATTTCGGAAATTTCACGTCCTCGAGGATGACGAGGGGTCCGTTTACACCGGACACGGTTTTGTACGCTACGAAAACAACGTTACGATAGGAGTGGCGGGTCACAAGACGCGGATCACATGACAGTCCGCGAGATTGCGATCGCGGCCTGCTACGATCCGCGATCCGTCTCGGGTTTGCGAGGATCGAACGGGCTCGATTTAAAATCGACCAAACTTAACGACGGATAGTAGAAAACGAATTACTTAGCCTGGGTTGCGATACGAAATCGCGCGACACGGCCAGGATGTGTTCTCGGGCGGCCTGCCTGCCCGTAATCGTCGACGAGAAAGACATGTCGCAAATTGCAGGTCCTGAAAGAATGCCACGGAAACAGGGTTTGCTCGCAAAAAACTACCCCTTCGATATGAAAACTCACTTTGATTCACAACCGACAACTTTCCACTGCGCTTACGACTCACGACTGGTTCGGAAATTGATCGTCGTGCGGGAGGGGAGACTCGTTTCGCACGGTTAAACGGTCGAATAAGTAAGAGGACCGAGCACAGACCACCGACGTATCGAGTCACGATCGTTAGTGACGTCACTGACTGCGAGACGACGAAACGAAACCTAACATAGCAAATGAGTATAATTCCGACTACACATTAACCCATTTTGTCCCAGTGGTGCACATCCATTTAGAAATTTTATTATTATCACTACTAAAGGGCATAAAACCGTAGAAATCGCTAATTTATGTGTAAAGGAAAGATCTTATATATGACTTCAAAAGTTAACAAAAGTGGTACATAATAAATAAAAAAAAATATTTTGGATTTGTATTGGCATTTTTTTAAGTCACCTGCCATAGATGAAGTGGGTTATGATAATCAAGGTCACCTCATGATTGTTCATGCTAATAAAGCCCGAAGGGGATGTAGAATCTGCCACAGCCACACAATTTACGTTTGTAATAAGTGTAATGTGCATTTACACACTCCATGTTTTGTAGAATATCACCAAAAATGAAACAGGATGTTACCAGTGGTGCGCTCACGCACCATATAATATGTGTTTTTTTGTATCAAATCAGGTTCTATTTGGAAAACAATCTTCTTCTGTATATTTATGTATAAATTATATGTATGTTACATCTTATATGCCCCAAAACATTATTCAATGTTTTTTCCCGTTTACGCACCAGTATTTTTTTGTATGTTTCGAATTTTTTTTTTGACATAAGTGCAAGAAAATAAATAATTTCAAAGCAAAAAAGTACTTTTTTTATGCTTCCGATAATATGCGTTAACGCGTACCATAACGTTACGTGACGTCATTGCCTGCAAAACACATAACGAAAAGTGTCTTCTCTGACGTCACCGGCGGTGCCGCACTATCATTTTTTACGCGTAGAACTATTTTATTGCTTGCAGTTCTTACAAAAATATATATATAAGAACCATTGAATCTCGATTCAATGTAGCATCATTACGTGACGTCACTGCCTGCAAAACGAATATTACGTAAAATATCTAGTCTGACGTCAGGGACGGTGTCAAGTTGGCACTTTTTAAGCGTAGATCTATTATATCGCTCGCCTTGAGAGATAAGTAGAGACAAACGACGGTTAATAGCTAATAAAACCTTTTTATTGTTCTTACAAATATATAAACACGGAAACGCGGGTTTCCACTTAGTCGTAAAATAAAATGTACAATACGAGGTGGCGCTCAGGGCGACGGCATGACTTTGAGCCGTTCGAAGGCCGCTTTCTCGAGCACCTCCCTGTGGTCGGGATGTGCGATATTGATCAGCGCGTGCGCCCTCTGGCGGAGCGATTTGCCGAACAAGTACGCGATGCCGTGTTCCGTGACCACGTAGTGGGCGTGGGCTCTCGTCGTTACCACCCCCGCACCTTCATAAAGGATTAGTTGCGAGTCAAGGAAAAAAAAAAAAAAACTTACCCTGCTTGATGGTGGGCACGATTTTACTCTCGCCTTTGTTGGTAGACGAAGGGAGGGCGATGATCGGTTTGCCTTTGCCGTCAGTGCCTTCCGCGGCGCCTCGGATAAAATCGACTTGCCCGCCGAAACCCGAATACATCCTCGTGCCGATCGAGTCGGAAACGATCTGTCCGGTAAGGTCGACCTCGATGCAAGAATTGATCGCGGTCATTTTGGGCTGCCTGGCGATCACGCCTGTCCGAAAAATAAAAGTCGTCACGGGTACGAAACACTTTTTAATCGCACCTTCAATGGGTATTTAAAAAAAATAAATAGAGAAGTTGGTGCGGGCGGTCTGCGGCCGCGCTGTTGCCGTCGTTTAACTCTGCTAGGATTACTTTTTTTATTTTTCCACTTTTCTGCCCATCTTCTTGCTTTCCCTAAAGAGACTGATAAAAAAAACGATCTTTTTAATTTATTCTAGCCGCCTGAAAAATCAACAACCGTAACGAACACTTCCATTTTCTTTTTTTTAATTTTCGACTTTTCCACCAATTTTCCGGCTTGCCTTCGGAGCTAGCGAATACTTTATTTGACAAAAATCGGTCCTTTTCGTTTATTTTAAGTGCCTGCAAAATCCCAAAGATTACTTTTTTTATTTCGCCTTTCCTAAAGTAATAGAGAAAACAAAAAATGATTTTTTCGATATGTTCTAGCTGCCTGAAAAATCCCAGACCGCTACGACTACTTATTTTTTTCTTACTTTTTTCGACTTTTTCACCAATTTTCCCGATTTTTCGTGATAGATCGAACCAGCTGCAAAATCACAAAATGCTACAAATCACTTCTTAAAGACTTTTCCACCGATTTTCCGACCTTCCTTTGGATCTGGAGAATACTTTATTTGACAAAAAAATGATCGTTTTGCCACGTGTTCTAACTACCTACAGAGTCCCAAACCATTTTTCTTATTTTAATGACAAAAATCACAGAAATTTCGTCTCCACTTGCCGAATAAGCGAGGTCGCATTTTTTTTGTTAAAATGTAAAATTTTGTTTTAACCTTTAACATATACACAATCATCAAAGCAGCCAAAAATAAGTTATCCGCACCAACGTCACCGAAAAGCTCGTCGCGCCGCGAAAGCGACATTGGTGCGGGCGGTCATTGATTCGACAAAAAAGGACCGCGCGCACCAACGTCGAACTGGCTTACCGGTATTGTTGACGTAATCGACGACCAACATCTCGATAAACGGATTGTTGTCGACGAAATCGTACAGGTCCTGGGTGCCGATTAGGAACGAGCCCACGATACGACCCTTGTGCATGGTTTTGCGGTTGTTGGTGATGCACCCGCGGTTCACCAGATCGATCACGCCACCGGCGAACATCTCCGAATGGATGCCGAGATCCTTATGGTCCTTCAGGGCGGACAGGACCGCATCGGGAATGCTACCGATCCCTGGGAAAACGATTTCGGTTTATGGTCGCAAACGCGGCCGAGTAGTTCAAACGAACCGTATGTGTTAAAATTATTTAGCAGGATTATAATAGTATTGATTGCAATAAAGCTCTACTTTGCCCTTATATGGTCTCCTTACTATAGGTAGCATGTTCAATAGAATGAAGGAAAATGAAAAATCGTAAAAGGATTAACAAATTGTTCAGAATTGGTTTCAATTCAATTTTAATTAATTTCATTTGATAGAAGAAATTATGGTTTATCCAGATAAATTGCTTGTGACGACGTGATCAGCTCCAAAAAAAAAAATCCTGTAATATGTACTGATTTAATTTTTGAATTTTTTTTACAACTTCAACTTTCGAAACGGTGCATTAGTGTGATGTTGTGGATTGTAACAATTTTCTTTAATGAATTTACTGATACGTCTATATGTATTGTATTGGACGACTACTGCCTTTTTGTCGCTTGTTTTTAGTATTAGTCCAAAATTGTTTTATTATATGGTTGATAAGGTACTTTCTTGATGATATGGTCCCTTTTCTACATGAACAATTGACCATAGAGACCATAGACAGGGAAACAGGGAGAAAAAATTGTTTTTGTGGATGTTGCTTGCTTTGAAATGTCTGATGCTTATCAGTAAGGTTCGTCTTAGAAACTTGGTTAAGCTTAGTGTACTGTATTTGCTCGAGAAAGATTCCTTCTATAAATAAATTCATATTATATTATATATTACATATTATTAATAGCAGTTTATTTAAATTTGACGTGGCTGACACAGTAGTTCAAATGTCCTAAACGGCGACATAACCTAATTTTACGCGGACTCACCCATTTGGAGGGTGGCTCCGTCCTCGACCAAGTTCTCGGCTATGTTCTTGCCTATCCTGGTTTCCACCTCGGTGGGAGGTTTGCCACCGTGCGAAGGCAACGGAGTATCGACTTTGACCGCGTAGTCGACGTGACTGATGTGAATGATGCCGTCGCCGAATGTCCTCGGCAGCCTCGGGTTCACTTGGGCTGCAAAAACAACCGAAAGGTGCTCGAGTTTCCCCATTTGGTGCCCCCGAAACGTACCTACGATCAACTTGGAATGGGTCATCCCCGCTCGGACGCAGTCGACGCTGGTTCCCAAGCTACAGTAGCCGTGAGCGTCCGGCGGGCTTACTTGGATCAGCGCGATGTCCGGCTGGACGATTTTCTTATAAAACAACTGCGGAATCTCCGACAGGAAAATGGGTACGGCGTCGCCCCTGCCTTCGGCGACGGCTTTGCGCACGTTACCGCCCATAAAAAACGACAGGGACCTGCAACATCGAAATGTCACCAGAACGCCACAGAACACAGAAATTCTTTTCATTATTTGCAAATCACTTCTAAATTGTTTAGACACAAATCCATATAGTCACAACTTAACCACAAATTATGACGCCATTGACGCGTATAAAATCGAAGTAATTTTTTTTTAATTCAGACGTCCAATGTTTTCCTAACCTTGAAAATTTTCACGTTGGCAGGCACTGCTTTTCCGTCAAAAATTTCGACATTTGACGTTTCTTAGTCGCCCCGCCAACTTTAAAGAATAAAATGCTTTGACGTCGACGAAAGAGAAAACCTGGAACTGCTAAACACACTTGCCTAAAGATGCCCTCGCAGGATGGGTCGGTGTAGGAGGCGGGACCCTCCGTGTGCATGTGACAGACGGTGATATTTTGAAGCTGTTTCTTTTTGCCGACGGCAGTCATCGCGTTGAGGAGGTCAATTGGAGTTGCTGCTGCACCCTGGGCAAACACGGTCTGCCCTGCAGCGCAAAGACACCGATACAGGGCATCACAACGCGACAGTAACTAATATCAAGTTATCTACGACTTATCTCTATGCACACAAAATTTCGGAGACATTCTCGTAATAATCGATAAAAACAACATGTTAAAATTAGAACGGTCTTCTGAATCAACAAATAAGGCGACGATCGACCTCGCGGACGATCGAAGTCCATTTCGCCGCCCCAAGAGTCGATCAAAAATGAGCGTACTTACCGGATTGTAATTCCGAAAATGCCTCCTCGGGGGCAACCCATTTCGGCTCTTTGCCCTTAATGGGCTGCGCGGGTTCGTTTACGTACGTAAAATAGTTTTTCGACGTCGACATAGAGCCCGGCGGGCCATAATAAAGACCCGATAGACATTTTCGCGATAATCTCTTTATCGGTGTCATATTTAAATTCGGAACGCAAAACTTATAGCCGCAACTAAAAAATTACTCGGAACGTATGTACACTCGACGAATACGCAACAATTTTGTACAAAATATCGATTCGTATTGCTGTTCGAACGCTTAAAACTAAAAACCATTTGCCATAATTGCCCAACTATTAAACCATGGAATAAATGTTTTGATAATTTTCAAGTTCATCGAAGACGTCACTCGGCGCGGCGTTGCCGATGTGATTTCACTGTCGAATTACAAACTTTAATTGGGTCATTGTTCTATAATTGCCATTTAAAGGAAAAACTCAGGAATTTGATCATCGTTTACTGCCTTGCCAATCAACGCGGTACGTATCTGGGAATCAAGTTATATGTTTTATCGTGAAGTCACTAGCTGTTTGATGAATGTAATAAAATTGTGCAAATTGAGAAACACCGATTAAATTTAAAGTTAATTTAAATGCGAAACAGTAATTTTATTTCAAATTACAACGGTATTCCAAAGCTTTCAATTAAATTACAATAAACGAATCGATACCAAAGCCGAGTCGTTTTCTGTGGTAGCTTTCGTTTGGTTCAGTTGTCCGTGCATTGACAATTTTACGACATAACCTTGCCGATTGACGGTTTTCCGTTAAATATGAAATTTTAAAAGGTAAGTTATTGAAACCTTAACAAAATTCCCCGTGTGATAATCACGCAACACGATATCGCCGAAACTAGGTAAAAAAAACTCCATTTATCAGCCGCAATGCGTTTGTCGTCGGGTGTCTTTTAGTTCGCGGAAATTCACGGTATCGTTTGCACGCTTTCAGGCATGGAGCGCGACGAAAGCGACGAACGGGTCCGGCGGCAGGTGGCCGACTATTACAGAAACTACTCGAAAACCGAGAACCTTCGCAAATACTTTTCGGACGACCCTCTGGCGTACTTGCCGCCCCATGCGGCGCCCGAGAGCGACAAGTCGCCTCCGTCGCAGGGCTCCGCTAAATCCCCGACCGACGTCGAACCTGTGGAAAGAGACAACAGCACCCCCGTCTCCGATAAGAAGCTCGAATGGGACAGCGGGGCCGATATCGGCTACCAAAATTACCAAAGCAAACCGAACCTGTTCAAAAGCACTTCCCTACCCACTTTGAGGGATGTAAAGCGTATAAAAGTGTGCACAGACTTTTTAAAGGTTGTTGATTGCCGGTGCGACCCTAGTAAGCTCGAGGTACAAAGGGATGCCGATGACGGTCCTACGTCGAAATCTAGTAGTAGTTCTCAAACACCGTCTGCCTCTAACGTCGCGGTAAAATCTTCCGGTAGTAGTTCCAGTGAACCTTCTCTCAGTAAAGTGTCGGCCAAGAGCTCGAGCGGTAGTTCAAATGAACCGTCTCGCGGGAACGTTAGTTCCGGCGCTTTCTCGGCGTCGAAAAGCGACGACAGAGACGTGAGACAGTTCAAGGCGACCCTGGAATACTTGCGAGGCAAGATAGGGTTGCCGGTGAGCAACTCCACCCCAAAATCTATATCGGACGGGGTCGTTTCGGCGCGGGACATGCGGACCTCCGCCGATATCACTCCGGTTTGCTCAGATCCGCGACGTGTGGAGTTAGTTTTGACGAAACCCGTCACGATGGAGGTAGAGGGCGCTCAGGCTGACGACGGGGCCACCCAGACCGATAGGAACGTCAGCGACAAGAGTGTGAATGTGGCAGCGGTCAAGCTGGACAAAGCTACGTCCGTTTCCGGTCCGGGAACTTCCCCTAAGGTCGCCGAGGGGACGCTGACGCTCGAGGAGGTCGAGAAAATGATCGCGCGGCTGCGCAAATTCGTCAAGTCGGAGAGACACGACTCTGACGAACGCAAGAGGCGGGTCAGAGAAATCCTGAACGGTTTAAAGTATCTGGACGGCTCGAGCGGCAGTTCGGAGCTATTTTCATTCGGGAAAAAGGCGAGTTCCGGTTCGAGCGATGTTTCGGCCTCGTACCAGACGTCCTCTTCAGGGAATTGGCGCGACAAGGAGACCCGGTCCGAGAAACGACTGCGTCAGATCGTGCGTAGCGAGAGGGCGTGGCTCGACGAGAAGAACTCGCACCTGACGAAGCTGAAGGAGGTCCTGGAGGATTTCGGGGGTGGGAGGGCGCGCAGGTCGCGTTACAAGGTGCGCGGGGGCGCAGGCGAGAGGGACTACGTCATAGAGACGGAGCTGGGGGCGCCCGATTTGGGACACGCCCGGTTCGACGTCGACGGGCAGAGCTACAGCGTCAGCAGCACAGGTTCTAAGGCGAGCGAGCCAGTTTCGGGGGGCATCGAAGTGGAAACCAGGGGCGGCACGACCTGGATCAAAGTGAAAACCTTCTGCCGAGGGTGCAAAAGGTCGGCGTGTAGGTGCGAGGGGGGCGGGGCGTTGGCCGAAAAATACGCGGCCGTAGTCGGACGTCCAGTCGAAGGTAAAGTTATAATAATAATAATACATTGCCTTTATTGTTGTATAATGTTATATACAAATATACAGTAGAGAAGATGCGAAGTCTAGCAAAAGCGAGAGAGAGAGACTTATCACAGTTTGTCGTGACTTTGAACTTCGGCGATAAGTAAAAGATACTTTATGCAGGGGTTATTAGCTCTTCGCGGTTGCTAAGAAGGCGGATTTTATCAAAAAAGTCCACATAGAGATATCTCCTGAATGGCTGCGTTGCTTTTTCTTATATCCCGCTCTGTTGCCAGGGACGGACTCGTCCGAGGACCGGCCGGCCCGCAATTCGTTCGAGGCCGCGTTCGACAGTTGCACATGCCGCTCGAAATGCACGTTCCTCGACAAGTTTCTCGAGCGTTTCGGGCAGTACGGCGTGCCGAACGGGCGGTCGTACCACCATCCGGCGCCTCCGAAACATTCCAACCACGTCGCGGTCGAATCCGAGGCGACTGCGCCACTTAATCGCGACGTCGCGCACTCCGAAGCGCAAACCGAGACCGACGTCAAAGATGTAAGCGTGCAAGCGACGAATGGGCGAGAAGGGGATGAATACCAACTCCCACCAATTGAAATTAACCTACCGGATAGAAAGGACGTCGCGGTAGGAACGGAGCACGAGCCCCGGTCCGACCCTGGCAAGGATAGGGCGAAATTTTGCGTCGACGTCCCTGTGCCAAAGTCTGGAAATACTAGGGGTGAGTACGAGAGCCTTGAGGTGCGCTTTGCCCGAAAATGACATTCGTTCTGGTGTCTAGGCGCTGCGCACGCATGCAAGGACCTCAAGTACTGCGAGTGCGGGGGCAGGGGGCCGGGCATGCGCTACACGCTGACGCTCAGGGGTAAGATAAACAAAATGCATAAGCAACGCACGATTGTAATTGACACTAATATTAATCTTTTACCATTTTTCGGAAGCGTTTTATATTTTTAGCAGTCTTTCATTTATTCCCAATAATTTATGAACAAAAACGGAAATTTGAAATATGAAAGAAACTGACAACGGAATCACAGCTTTCTAGTTATAGTCAATTATCAAGATAAACGGAGCTCAATTTTCAGTTCTTTGCAAATTACCGACGCACCCTGTACATTTTTGAAAAATCATCAAGAATAAAGGTTTTTGGCCCGGATCTTGCGCGTCGTTTGGTTAAAGAAGTTTGGAGAATCTTGGAGAAATGATTTTTTTCTCGGTACCCCGCAAGCGCGGTTTTTAAATTTTTAAAAATACATCCCGACCCCCACCGCACCCCAGCCCGCCCACTTTCCATAGGCAGTACAAATTTTAATATCTACCGAAGTGTGCCGTAACTTTGAAGTTCGACGAGATGTGAAGGACACTTTATACAGGGTGGATTCACAATCAAATAAAAAAAAAAAAAAGGTGATACGCGGTATTTACTACGAACTTGCCCCGCTCACCGACGATTTTTCGAAAGCAATCTTCATTCATTACAATACTTCTAGTTCGTTTATATTCAGCGTTTGAAAGCGTGTGAATTCCTTAAGATTGGTTTGTATATTTGGCAGCAATGTCAAGGATGCATTTTGCATAGAAGTCGTTAAAATTTTGTTCTATATTACCCAAATCGCTCGCCACATTTTCTTGCCGTTTCCCTTAGATCGTTCAATGCTTCACAATATGTCAACTTCTCATTTCCTAAAACCCGCACAAATGTATTCCTTTTGGTCTGATAATTAAGCCAATCGGTCCGCAAGTTGGTATGCTTAAACTTTTTTTTTGCTATGTCAAAGGGTTTTTCAGATGACGTGGAGCGCAAGAAGACGAAGGAGAGGGAGAACCATCGGAAAAAGGACGTGATAGTTTTGGAAAAATGGAAGGCGGACGCGGACTGTGGACCAAAGAGGGGCGGCCACGACAGGCCGCTGACGCTTGCGGTAAACTAATAATAATAATATTTATTGCCTTTTACATCAAAAAATATTTTTATGTCAACGTTGAGATTTTTCAGTTCACTAGGTAATTCATTAAAATATTTTGCTGCATAATACACACTTCTTTGTCCGATAGCTGGTTGGTGTTGAGGCAAAATAATACTTTTGTCACGAGTGTTCATTTGATTTTGTAAATATTCATTTTTTAATTCGCTATATTGATACACTTTTGAATAATAAATAATAATAAATTTGTAATAACTGCTTTCTTGTTAGTACTAGTACTACTAACGCTTCTTCGTTATTAGTTGTTGAACCGAAACCGACACAGGGTAGTGGTCGGACACGGACTGAAAGAATGAATGAACATAAGTCAGAATCCTTTTTTGTAAAATCCAACAAAATTTTTGCCGTGTAGTATAGCTGACATGATAATTAAAAATACAAAAATTGTAGGATAGCTAAATAGGTAGGGCACGTCGCATGACACAAATTATCTAAACTACAAAACAAAAAATAAGAATAATCTTTTAAATATTTCAAAGAAACTTCATCAGGCTCTACTGTAATATCAAAGTAACATGAAACTGCAAAACTACTGCAAAATCTAAGGATTCTCATAAATCCTTTATAAAAATTCCTTGTCTAATAATAGAACCCTGAATCTAGGGTAGTTCAAACGTCCCCGACGTTGTCGTTTCAGGAATATCTGATTATAAACAGGCCTCGATTCGTCGAAGCATCGGAATTTCGACGCAGGACGTTGTACGATTCACGACTGCAGAGGGAGGAGTTGAAGGAGGCGGCTAAATTGAAAATTGTGGAGAGTGACGAGTACGGGGACGGGACGAAACGCAAGTACGACCGTCCCAAGGGGAACGAGAAGGTGGAACGGCGTGTTGCAGCGACGAAGAGGCTGTTCTCGGAGAAGGAAATGAGGGAAATCACGAGGAAAACGTACCGGAAGCTGCCGGAAATCCAGCGGAAGCTGTCGGGCAGGCGGCAAAACAGGCTAAGGGATGTCGACAAGCTTATCACGAACATGTTCAACAAGGTTAGTCGTTTGGGTCGTTTTTTTTTTTAATATTTTCGCCGGTTTTCAGAAAATCCAAAAAAACGTCCTGCAAGGTCGAACCAATTTCCCGATCGACGCAAACCTGGTTTAGGCTTATAGGTTGTAGGTAGGCTTTACTCATAAATTATCATCAATTCTTTGACAATAAAATGATTTTTATTTTATTTGCTTTTTAATGGTGTTTGGTCTGCGCCTGTACATTCGAACTACTGACCTTCTAAGCGCGAACCAATTTCCCTATCAATCAAACTTGGTTTAGGGTTATAGGTAAGTTTTACTCATAAATTATCAATCAATTTTTTGACAATAAAATGATTTTTATTTTATTTGTTTTTTAATGGTGTTTGGTCTGCGCCTGTACATTCGAACTACTGACCTTCTAAGCGCGAACCAATTTCCCTATCAGTCAAACTTGGTTTAGGGTTATAGGTAAGTTTTACTCATAAATTATCAATCAATTTTTTGACAATAAAATGATTTTTATTTTATTTGGTTTTTAATGGTGTTTTGTTAAAAAAAAAATGAACATGGTCTGCGCTGGTATGTTCGGACTACTGGCCTTTTAAGCGCGATCCAATTTCCTGATCGACTCAAACCTGGTTTAGGGTTATAGGTTGTAGGTAAACTTTACTCATAAATTATCAATCAATTTTTTGACAATAAAATGATTTTTATTTTATTTGGTGTTTTATGGTGTTTAGTTAAAGAAAAATTGGCTTGGTCTGCGCCGGTACATTCGAACTACTGACCTTTTAAGCGCGAACCAATTACCCGGTCGACGCAAACCTGGTTTAGGCTTATAGGTTGTGGGTAGGTTTTAATAATAAATTATCAATCAATTCTTTGACAATAAAATGATTTTTATTTTATTTGGTTTTTAATGGTGTTTAGCTAAAAACAAATTGGACTTAGAATACGCCGGGACATTCGAACTACTGTCCGTTTAAGCGCTGACCGCTGCCCTATAATCGTCTATCTCCCCGCAAACTTGGTCGACGCTTTCGCGTCCACCTTTCAAGTACACAACCCGTAATCCGCCCTCCACGTGACCTTCGACCACGCCCCATTTTTCGAACACGCGCAGGGCGTTCCCCACCCAGTCAGCGCGAGCGCTCTCGGCTGCAACGTAAAAAAAACAGTCAATCTCCGCCACTGTTTTTTCGTCACCCCTCCCCCCTCTCGGTCAAAAATCAGCGCCTTACCAAATTTGAAAAAAGGTAAGCAATAGACTGGACCAAAGTTTTTTTTATATGCTCGGAATACCACAGAAACGAGACATGAAAATTACATTTTAAGCACTTTTAATTAGAAAAAAAAAATATATATATAGATAATTTTTTATATCTACTACCAGCATTTAAAGTAACCTTCAAAATTCTAGAATTTGTTTAGCAGTTACTGGAGTTATTAAAAACGTCCTTCATATTTTGTTTTAGAGGAAATTCTCTAGCACTGTATATTTTTGACACTTTTATTTTCCGATTGCTGAATGTCTTCTCTGGAATTTTGTGAACAACGGTTGAAATATTGAATTGGAAATTTTTTGAAACCACTGGACATGGAACTATCGGATATTGGGCACTTTTTCCTAGCTGCCTGTGATTTTATTACTTGGCCCATGTGGGTGAACGCATGTATATTTAGAGTTTTTCAAAAAACTTTCTCCAAAATTTCTTCGTTCCCGGAAAATCTGAATTACCGTTACAAAAACGGGAAAAAATATGTAAAAAAAAATTACCGAAGAAAAAATGCGGATTTTGTGTATTGTAACCCATATTTCATAAGTGCCATAAAAATAACTTATGCTAACCAAATCCGCCATTTTGATTTCCCGAAAAGAGGGCAAAGTTTATTGTAACCCAATTTTGTTTTGTTTTTTTTTTTAAATATATCGATTTTCTTGGGATTCCATTAAGTAAAAGTACCATTTTTTTTTTTAAAGGCAATTGAATGCTAGCAGGGTGGTATACCTGGATTTTTGACCGAGATTTCCCCAAAATTCAACTCCGTGACGGCCATTACCGTATTGCCGATCGGACTTGGCGATATCGACGACTATTTCCTCGACCAAATCGCTTTCGAAGAGCTGCTCGTCGAAGAGACGGCGCAAGCCGGAAGCCGCGGCCGCGTAGGCCTCCAAATGAGGCCCCAGCGCGTTCCTCAGGGGCGCGAGGCGCTCCTCCGCCTCCCTATCGCTCGCCACTTTGTAAGTTTTCAACGGAACGTCTTCGTCGACCAGCTGTTCTACCATTTTCCTGTTGCGACGGATCAGTCCCGCGTTGCCGTCCTAAAGAAAACCGAGTGAATTTGAAATACTTTTGAACGCAGACGCGCAAATGCAAGTATGAGTCATCACATCAAGGGAAAAGGAGATAAAAATACACGTCTTAAGTTCAAGTACGATTTTTTTCGGGCAGTTCTCAAAATATTTTTTTATATTAGAGCCTACTAATATAAAAAAATATTAAAAAATTACATAAGTTTGAAAATATCGAAAAACTTTAATGACGGGTTGGCTTTTGTTCAGTTTTCTACCAAGGTGCCACTTAAAAAATAAACAACTGTTTTTCACATTTTTCTAAACCAACTTTGTTTTGGTTAGTTGTATTTTTTAATTATTTTTTTATATTAGAAAATATCAAAAAATTACACAATTTTCGAAAATATCGAAAAATTTTAATGACGGGTTGGCTTTTGTTTAGTTTTCTACCAACGTGACAATTAAATTTTTTTTTTCACATTTTCCCAAATTAACTTTGTTTTAATACACCCCAGTTTTGAAAACACGTTAAAAAATCACGTTATCTTTAAAAATATCAAGAAATTTTAACGACTTTTGTTCAGTTTTTCTACCTATGTGCCACAAGGGAACAGTTAAGTATGTAGAACACGTTGTACATTGGACCTACTTTTTATAAATATCTTGGTGACGCTTATTCGGAGAGTAAGCCGTCAAAATAGAAAAGTATGTGCCACCTTCACAACGAAAAGAACGCGAAAGGAGCATCTTCCCGCACCTGGTAACTTGGATATATCGCGAGCAAAAAAAAATGACGTTGTTTATCGCGCATTCGACCTACTTTTAGCTTGACACGCCCGCAAGTGCCAAAAAAAATAACCAGTCGAGCAGTTCAAACGCTTCGACTTTTTGTGCATCGGACTTACTTGAGACACCGGGAGTTTGCAGCAACGAAGAATGGTTAGAGTAATATGAAAAAGCCCTAAGACTATGACAAATAAAATCCTTGTATGTAACTAGTCCTTCCCAGTGGAGTAGTTCAAATGCCTTGGCGACTTACCGTGACGAACATGCCGGTTTTGATTGAAAGATCGTCTATGGCGCCGACGGCGACGCGTTCGAGGTCCTCGCACGGTTTGCAGAAGAGAAACTCGTGACGCAGCATGTCACAGAGTCGCAAAACGTGCCGCATCAGGTCGTCGTGGTAGACCAGGTCGCCGTGGACGTTCGACCTACGCAGCGCGACCGCTATGACGCAATCCAAAACGAAATACGCCAGCACGGGGTCGCTGTAACGGCACAGCGCTACGCCGCTGTCGAAATCGCGGCGTGGTTTTATACGGTCGCGGTCGGTACTAACTAAACCGGGTCCCAGCTTCTCGACCTGAAACCACGCCCATTATTGTCGCGCAAAAATAAAAGACAACTGTTAAGGAGACGCAAAGAACATATGAACTACTGCCGACGTTTACATAACGACAATCTCTATCTTATGCCTCCTTCTGCCCAGAGCACTCCGGCCATATCAAATCTAGTGGATCAATGGTTTTTTTGCAGAGTTAAACAGGCTGGTACATCAGAAAGGAGAAAGATAGGAAAGAACCTGCTACTTATCTTAGGTATGCTACTCTAATTACAGTGAAAGCTCCCATCAGCGGACACTCACGATTCCATAACTTTTGTTGGGAGGTGTAGGATGGTGTAAGTACAAATACGTACAATGTATAACGTAATGATTAGAGGAAAAGAAAACAGAAACTGGCAACATTTTTAAACCAGTTATGTATTTATCTTCAACATATACATGGTGAAATTTGTTTTTTTTAAATCCTTAGGTTTTTGAAAAAAATCTAAAGTGCTTGTCTGACAATTTTCGTAATAACGTTCTAAATTTTTTAAGTGTTGAAATGCAGTGAAATCATCTCTAGCAAATGTTTTTAATATAGAAATATGATTTAGAGCTTCCTGATATGAATTTATTGTTTTTGAACTGCAACACTTCTTCTTCTGGGTCATTTGAACTACCGTCTCTTTCTACATTCAATTTCGAAAAGCTGTCGACGGCATTTTTCTGTTGTTATATTATCGTCTAAGGTTATGAAACCATCTACATTCTGGATTTCTGTTACTCCTAAATGTTTTGCATGTCCCAGTAACTCAGCAAGTGTCGCTAAGGTCAGATCATCTTCCGGATCGTAATCAGTAAATTCTGAGCTACATTCACTTTTTCCGAATCCAGTTTTGCCAAAACAATTCTTAATTGTCGAGGAATTTACTTTATTCCACGTTGTTTTTATAAAATACAAAGTTTCTAACACATCGATGGACTTTGTAAGCTCAGATAATGTTTGAACATGTTCAATTTTTGTTAAAATATGTTTCAAAATCGAGTGCCTAATTATTATAAATGGTTATAAGTAATGAATAGTTGAAAAGAGTTGATACAGTGGAAGATCTGGAAGTTATTCTCGATGAAAGATCTGTTGACCATATTATTGGGATATGGTCTATTCATAGTGACCTTATTTCCGGGCCATACATTTTGAGGTTTCCGTGTTCCTTATTTGGGTTGCCGCCTAGGAGCTTGGCATCTTAGGTTATAGCTATGATTTGTTAATTTTTTCAAAATAATTTTTTTTTCTGCGATTATTATCAACCTGTACTAGACAGTTTAAGTTTGGCATCTTAGGTTATAGCTATGATTTGTTAATTTTTTCAAAATAATTTTTTTTTCTGCGATTATTATCAACCTGTACTAGACAGTTTAAGTATTGCCAACATTTCTTTATTATACAGGGTAGTGGGACGGCGGTTGATATCTTGGAAACCGATAGTCGGTTCATTTGAACTACTTGATGTTTCCTTTCTATTATCGATTTAGTTATACAACAAACGTCACATACACAATACATGGTAGTTTTGGTTACCTACCCCGTACCGCACCACGTCAACCGAGCGACCCAGAAAGCCGACGTCTTTCCTGACGTATTCCAGCTGCCTCCGCAGGCCGTCCATGGCGGCGGAAAGTTCGTCTACGGTGGCGCCATCTCTGTATCTGGTGCGGAGCAAGAAAGCGACGGCGTTCGTCGCCATTACCGCCACCGACTGGTTACAACCTGCGGCATTACGTCAAGAGTGGGGGAATAGGGGAGGGGCTTATACCGACTGCGCTTACTGAAAGCCACGTGATCGCGCAGGTATTGCTCCACCCCCTCGCGCTTATCTCCGCCGAAGTCAGACCAATATACGTGTTTCTCGTGAAACGTTTCAACGAATTCCTAAAATTGGGCAAATAAAAAAAAATAGTTTACAGGTCAATGACAAGAAATTACCCTCAAAGAGAACGGTTGGTTAAAATCGACCCTTATCATGCCGTGGCCGCCCATCAAAGCCGTCCAGGCGGCTCTAATGGACGGCCAAATTTTTCCGCCACGGTTCGATAGGTTTAAATTAAAATGGCGTCCGATGAGTTTGTCGCGATTTAACGCTACCGGCACCAACAGAACGTCATCCAAAGTACGGTCCTTCAAGCTATCGAGCACCACTTTGAGGATTTCGCGTTTCGCTATGGGGAATATCAAGTTGTAACCCGCCCGAAGGCTGTTTTTCAACTGCTCGGTCCATAGGGCGTCGTAGATGGGATCCGCTTGGCACTGATTGTCACCAGACTCAATGAAGAACACTCCCATACGTCGAAGCAACGATCTATAGAAAACTTATATCTATATAATAAAAATTTCATATAATTTCTTTTGTTCAAATCCTATGATGTCCCGAAGAAATTTAACTTCACCCTTACATTTACGCAATTCTTTGGTACTTATTCTTGTTGAAGATAATGCAATAGAACTTACCCGATGAAGGCAACATTGCAATGACGCTCGACCGCCACTAAAGGACACTTTAAATTGAACCTAAACACCAAATACAATATGACGAGATGATCTAAATGCGACTCGCTTGAGGGTAAAAATATTATAGGAAGATTCGACCGGGCCGCTTCTCTCAGGATACCAATCTGACCTTCGTGGACGCATATCGAGGAAGCGCAACGGGGTAGAATTTTAGATAAAGCCCAGGAAACGAGCCTGCAAAACTGTGTCCATACTAGGCTGACCTTACCATCAGATCTCATTACCTCAAAAGAAAATATGACACTTTTCCGCTAATATTAACGCCTAATATTTCAGCCCTTTTACGGTTTCTCGTCAACAAATCTCGATACAAATCTTCATCTTTGCTATCCATCAACTCTAACTGCTGCCGGGACACTTTCTCCACGGCATTTTCAATTCTCTCCAGGCTTAGAATGTTTTTTTTTACAATGGGCGGGTTATTGTTCCAATCGAATGCCCTTACAAAATGATTCTGCAATACGTTGGTTATTACCAGACTTTCGGTGTTTTTTTTCACCCAGGATTCCTAAAGTATTCAAATGGTCTGCCATATTATTTAAAAATTGCATTTTAAATCTCTCACGCGACTTATGAACGTGCAATTTTCGCAGCACAGTCCCATGAAAGCTCGTTTCCTCGTCAAACTGACCTCGGGCACTGTCTCCTTCAAGGAGAACAATTGCGCCTCTTGAGCCTAAAATAAAGCATCCATTTGCAATTTTCCCTGACTGAAATTTAACTGACTTTTATATCTAGATCCCTTGCTAAACGTTTACTGTACTGTTGATCCCTGGCAAATCTCCTTAGCGTTACGAGAGAGGCCCGCGTTTCGTTTTGAGTCGCCCTCGAAGGTGCGAAATGGGTGTAAACGTCCTTGCCGTGTCCCTCCATTATGATAATTAAATAAAGTCCATTCACTTTCAGCCGCTTAGGAAATTAAAAAAGCTAAACACCGGCTACAAAATTCGAGGTTAAGGACTCATTCGTCTACTTTTCGGAATTTTTCGAGTATAAGCTCGCGCGAAGAGAGGAGAAAAATGTAAAGACCCGTATGCGAACATAAAAAAAAACAATCGCGGAAATTTTATCGCGAATGCGACAGACGAATGACGCCGCGAGGAGCAATTGAAGATCGTTTCGTTTTAGGCAAAACGCCGCCGAAAAATCGAGAATGCATTAAAAGTTTTCAGAAATGTTTAAAAGCTTTTAAGGGACTAGCGAGAAAAAAATAACGTTTGCCCAGGGCCACCGATAATAAGCTTTTAAAAACTTTCGGCGCTCAGGGCCGGATTTAAGCAGAATGACAAGAAAATAAGTAAATTTGGAAACCATTTGCGTACTGTCGCTAAGTTACTAAAATCTCTGCCAAGGACGCAAGCAACGGGAACATCTAGGTGCAGCGCGGGTTGCCTAGTGCGTACCAGCCAAGCGCGGAAAATTTGATCTTAGTTTTAAAAATACACAAAAACAAAACTATCTAGTCGCGGTTTAGAGTGGTCGAATGTTCAAGTGCATCCGCCATAATCATGAATTCTAACTGCAAATTTAAAAACACAAAGAATACGCTTTAGCAATTCGACATTCCGTATTATTAGACGGTATTATTGTTGGCGTTGGAAATTTAAAACGTAATCCACTTAAAATTCCATTTTATGCGTCTGACGCGGGCCAACGCCGTAAGTGCTACACTTGCCGGATTTAACCTTAAAGAATTTTAAATTTTTAAGTAGTTATTTTCCATTCCCTCTATCTCTCTCGCCTTCCGTTCAGCAGGGCGGGTTTTTCGCCCCCGGGCCTTTACTTTTTCGCACGCATCGAAAAACAACAGATTTTTAATTCCCACAGTTCTTCCCGAACGTACGGGGAAATTCCGATTTCTTCCGTTTTTCCCTTTTTTTTCGGGACGGAATTTATCCGCGTTTTCCTTTACGGTTTATCCTTTGACGCGGGACAGAGGCGGGTCAGGATGGGCAAATAATCGCCGTTGATATTCGTCTATTGTGGTCCAAATTCGACGGGCCTCAATGGCTTTAAGCATTTGCAGCATAGTTAGATTTTCGTGAGACGTCAAAAACTGAGATGACGTTTTAACTTCAAAAATCTTTTTGAGCTAGGTTGCCTTCATTCCGGATATCTCTGGAGATATAGATTTAACCCCGTCTGTCGATTTTCGTTATTTTCAACATTTTTACAGCGTGACGAAGACGCCACTTTTGACACTTGGGCTTGTGTATCATGGCAGTTGTTTTGATCATAGCTACGTAGATACGTGCACTAAATGTGCATAGGGCAGAGTTGAGTACAGCCTACTATGGTAATTATTAAAATTTGCAGGTATCTTTTTAACTACTTAATAAAAATAGGTGTATTGCACATCATTTGAGGAAATTTTATTAGAAAACTGTTTTTTATAAATTGGGGTATGTCATTTTAAAAAATGTAACTTTGTGTTATATCTCGTAACTAAATGCTTTAAGACAAAATCGGTGAAATCGGTAGATTTGCGCTTAAAAAATCTTCAAATGTTTTTAATAAAAATCTCTATCTTTGCAAATGAATGGTTTTTAGGAACGCATATTTTTAAGAATCACCCTGTAGCTCAGAAACGCTAGGGCATTTTTTAAGGCAAATGCAGTGGCGTACTCAGACTTTTCTACAGTGCTTCGTTTTCTCATAAATAAATACAATTTTCTTATTTTATATGGCAATCATAGTTTTGGTTAGTTGGTAGGTGTGTGTTACTCACTTAAGTTATTTGAAATTGGCCTTATCTTTTTTAAATTTCCTGTGTTTATTAAATGATTATTTATTATGCACGGACTACTAATACATAAGCAAAAAGTGCCCCATATTCCCAAGGAAAGACCCGGGCAAGCTGTAAGAATGAAATATGGCCCAACAGGTCCGTACTTTGCTTAGAATTTAATTATTTGGGGTTTTGTTAGGAAAGACACTAAACAATATTTATTAAAAAATAATATTATTAATTATTTTTATTACCTACTTAAATTACTTACAAATTATTCACATAATGTATCAGTATCACTATCGCTATCATCGCCTGTTCCAATTATTATTTGTTCTATATTATTCGCAATATGCATATATGATTGTTTTGCTTTTTCTATATGTTTAACAGAATCTGCCCAACTTTGTGGAGGGATGTTAAAAACTTCGGTTTCTAAAAGTTTGAGGACACTGGAGTTAACACTGGGAAAAACATTGTTACGACGAATGGCAGATTTCAGTTGGTGCCAAACATGTTCAATGGGATTAAATATACAGTGGTAAGGTGGAAGCCTTAAAATTGTATGCCCTAGATTTTTTGCATAATTATCACAGACGTATTCCTTTTGTAGGTTCAAGCTTTGTAGAACCTCAATTAATTGCTTTTTGGTATAATCTTCGTGAAAATAAATGTCGTTATTATACACGTAGCTTTGGATTGTTGCTTTTGTGTCACATGAGGAAGGGGTTTTAGTCAACTGTCTACTGTGATAACTTGCATTGTCCATTACAATGACGCTATTAGGAGGAATGTTTGCAACTGGTTTGTTTTTAAACCAGCTTTCAAATAAATCAGCGGTGATGTCTTCATGGTAATCCAGAGAAAAATCTTTAATATTTTTCGCAGGCAGAGAAAATCCATTTGGAATCCAACCATCTTTAGCGCCAGCGTGCAAAGTAGTTATTCTTTTACCTCTTTTTTCCATACAGTTGATGTTGGAATTTTCGTCAATGTGGCCGTTTCTTCTAAAGATGCTCGCTTGCTGGCACTACGTTCAATGAGTGTCAAACCACAATTTTACCTGAATTTAAATTCCAAAACTTTAGGTAATAATCTTGTCGCGTTGTATGTTGATGACCATCCTTGGATAATCCCATTCAAAAGGAATTCGTCACTTTCTTATATCTATGAAGAGACCATACAGAGTAAAATGCGAGCCAGTTTCAGTCGGCAAATTCGGTTCATCATCGAGACCGATGCCGGATGAATCCAGAAGTTGTGTAAATAGTATTATAAAAGTATCTCGTGGAAGTTACTTCAAAAAATTAACGCATTCCTTTTTTTTGTCTACGGCTCCGCAAGACGGGGGCGGCGAAACGGCGGCCAATTTGAAAAACCGCCCCCGGTGCATTCCTAATGGGAAACCACGTCCCCGGAAATGATCGAATGTTCTTTTGTTACAGCAGGAACGTTCATTTTCCGGTTGGATTACCGGCCGATAAAAAAGAGCGCGCGCGCTCAAACAGCATGAAAACAGTCGTGGGGGGGCCGCCCAGCCCCCCCGCAACCCCCGGGACTAGTTTGTTACTTTTCGCGGGCCATTTGGCAGATAAACATTGCCCAGGGTCGTCGCTTTTGTCTTAATGACACCGAGCCAGCCCCCCACCCCCTAGAATCAAGACTATTGTTTTCAAATGCTCTTTTATGTTCGTTAATGCGATATTTCATTTTAAAAATAATTATCATTCGATTTCTGGACAAGAGCCATATTGTTTAAAAATGGTCAAGTCTGCCTCGACATCAACCATATTATCTATGTTTGCAATTGTTTTAAGATATATCAATAATGGAGGTTATGTGGAACATGTTTAGCATTAATTATTGATTTTTTTATTGTTTGAATAATAGAATTTTATTATTTGCCGTTTTTCTTCTTCAGTATAACCCATTTGAAATATCTTAAATTATTTAACTTACGCTGCAGATCTTTAGATTTGATTAGATGTCAACAATTGCAAAAATTGTTCAAACAGTTGGCAAAACATCATCGCTGTTGTCCAGAAATCGAATGATAATTATTTTTAAAATGAAATATCTCAAAAAGGGCTAAAATAAATTTCAATAAACCATATGTTTTTGAAAACAGGCAAAAAAGACCTACGATTTAAGTGTCCATAAACTATACGTTTTTGAAATCACGAAAAAGAAATGATCTACGATTTGAAAAAATGATGCTGCTGTCATTTTTCTGACATTTGATAATAGAGCTGGACCTCCCACGTTCTCCCGTTCATGGATTTTTCCACCAGAGTTTTGTTAATCTCCATGGCTTCCAATAAATTTATTTTTCGACTTTTTGTGGCTGTAGGTAAAATATCAAAATTGTCGTCAAAAATGTGTTTTTCTGTGTTTAAGTGTGCAGCATAATTAGAATCTAGACTATTGTTTTTAAACGCTCTTTCATGTTCGTTAATGCGTTTCTTGAAGGATCTACCTGTTTGTCCAATATAAATTTTAGGACAAGATCCGTATTTCAACCTGTAGACACCTGATTATTGAGATTTTGGATATTTCGTTTGATTGTTTTTTAAAAATTTTCCTATTGTGTTGTTAGTTCTAAAAGCTATTTATAAGCCACATTTTGACAAATGTTTTGACACTTTTTCACTGTTGTAATTGTTTTACATTGTTCGTGTTCTGTATTAGGTTTCGGATAAATAGGGTTTACTGTTATCTGGATTTGATTTTTATTTATAATTTTATTTATTAATATCACCGCAATTTGCTTAGTGATATTGAGCTCTTTGTTGTAATTTGCTGTTGGGAGTGGCGTATTAAGATGTCTGTGTATAAAAGAGTGATTTGAGATGTTATGTATGACTGTGTCCGTGTGTGAAGGTTTACGATAAATGGAAAAATATAATTTATTTTGCGTTTTCGTAATAGTTAAGTCTAAAAAATTAATTGGGTTATCCTGTTCAATCTCGATAGTGAATTTTATACGATTACGTAATGAGTTAATGTAATTTAAAAAAGAATTCAATTGTCTGTCCGTTCCAGCAAAGCAAGCAAGGACATCATCCACGTTTCTATACCATCATAGAAAACTTTTACTTAAACTTAAATCCATAAAAATCTCGGCTAGCAAAGGACTAAGTGGGTTTCCCATAATCAAACCTTCCTTAGAGATGGTATTGGTATTGGTATTGGTATTAAAGGGGGGCGCCCTCGCGGGCGTCCAAGCACTTAGGCCACCAGATGGGCCCGTTGTGCCCCCAGGCCGCTCTAGAGGGCGTCCAGAATGCCGCCCCTCCTGTAGAAGGTCAGCAACTCCTTTAGCCCAATACCGTGCACTGAGTCCGGATCGATCAGGGCCGTTCCGAAGACTCCCAATCTTGCCCATGTCAAGGCAGGGCACTCGGTGAGCAGATGATACGGGGTCTCCTCCCCTTCCATGCACCTCCGGGTCGTCTCCAATGCCTAGCAAGCAGAGATGCCTCCTAAGCCTGCAATATCCTGTGTAGGCCCCTGTTAGTGCTCTACACTCCTGGTTAGTCTAAGCAGCTCCCTGGTCC